TCTGCTGCGTCTTCTGCGTCTGCTGCATCTGCTGCATCTGCAGCGTCTGCAGCGTCTGCTGCGTCTGCTGCGTCTGCTGCGTCTGCAGCGTCTGCAGCGTCTGCTGCGCCTGCTGCGTCTGCAGCGTCTGCTGCGCCTGCTGCGTCTGCTTAGTAAAGTAAAGCAAAGTGAGACCAGACCATCAGGTCCTTTTGAAAGGCATTTCCTGAAGTTGTTGAAGTTCTGTCTCAGAACGATCCAATCAGAGGCTGTTCTTTGACATTTGTGTTTCCTTTGACTTTGTCACATGATCACATCCACCTGTCACATGATCTCATCCACCTGTCACATGATCTCATCCACCTGTCACATGATCTCATCCACCTGTCACATGATCACATCCACCTGTCACATGATCACATCCACCTGTCACATGATCTCATCCACCTGTCACATGATCACATCCACCTGTCACATGATCTCATCCACCTGTCACATGATCACATCCACCTGTCACATGATCTCATCCACCTGTCACATGATCACATCCACCTGTCACATGATCACATCCACCTGTCACATGATTTCATCCACCTGTCACATGATCTCATCCACCTGTCACATGATCACATCCACCTGTCACATGATCACATCCACCTGTCACATGATCTCATCCACCTGTCACATGATCTCATCCACCTGTCACATGATCTCATCCACCTGTCACATGATCTCATCCACCTGTCACATGATCTCATCCACCTGTCACATGATCACATCCACCTGTCACATGATCACATCCACCTGTCACATGATCACATCCACCTGTCACATGATCACATCCACCTGTCACATGATCTCATCCACCTGTCACATGATCTCATCCACCTGTCACATGATCTCATCCACCTGTCACATGATCTCATCACCTGTCACATGATCTCATCCACCTGTCACATAATCACATCCACCTGTCACATGATCTCATCCACCTGTCACATGATCACATCCACCTGTCACATGATCACATCCACCTGTCACATGATCTCATCCACCTGTCACATGATCTCATCCACCTGTCACATGATCTCATCCACCTGTCACATGATCTCATCCACCTGTCACATGATCACATCCACCTGTCACATGATCACATCCACCTGTCACATGATCTCATCCACCTGTCACATGATCACATCCACCTGTCACATGATCTCATCCACCTGTCACATGATCTCATCCACCTGTCACATGATCACATCCACCTGTCACATGATCTCATCCACCTGTCACATGATCTCATCCACCTGTCACATGATCTCATCCACCTGTCACATGATCTCATCCACCTGTCACATGATCTCATCCACCTGTCACATGATCTCATCCACCTGTCACATGATCTCATCCACCTGTCACATGATCGCAACCACCTGTCACATGATCACATCCACCTGTCACATGATCACATCCACCTGTCACATGATCTCATCCACCTGTCACATGATCACATCCACCTGTCACATGATCTCATCCACCTGTCACATGATCTCATCCACCTGTCACATGATCACATCCACCTGTCACATGATCTCATCCACCTGTCACATGATCTCATCCACCTGTCACATGATCTCATCCACCTGTCACATGATCTCATCCACCTGTCACATGATCTCATCCACCTGTCACATGATCACATCCACCTGTCACATGATCACATCCACCTGTCACATGATCACATCCACCTGTCACATGATCACATCCACCTGTCACATGATCTCATCCACCTGTCACATGATCTCATCCACCTGTCACATGATCACATCCACCTGTCACATGATCACATCCACCTGTCACATGATCACATCCACCTGTCACATGATCACATCCACCTGTCACATGATCTCATCCACCTGTCACATGATCTCATCCACCTGTCACATGATCACATCCACCTGTCACATGATCACATCCACCTGTCACATGATCTCATCCACCTGTCACATGATCTCATCCACCTGTCACATGATCACATCCACCTGTCACATGATCTCATCCACCTGTCACATGATCTCATCCACCTGTCACATGATCTCATCCACCTGTCACATGATCTCATGTCTGAGGATTAAGACTTTATCATCTGTGAAAGTCCATTTAGTGTCTGAGTTTAACCTTTTAAAGATACTTTAATTGACTGTGAACACGCCCACGTGTGTGTGTGTCTGAGTGTGTGTCTGAGTGTCTGAGTATGTGTGTCTGAGTGTGTGAGTGTGTGTGTGTGTGTGTGTGTCTGTGCGTGTGTGTAAATGTAGTGTATGTGTGCAGTGTAGTGTATTGTGTGTTGCAGATCAATAATTAGCTGTACACACATTCTGCAGAGGTTTTGTGCGTCTTGGTTTTGTGTGTCCTTGTTTTGTGCGTCCTGCTCCTGTCACTCAGCGCCGCTCACAAAAGAGCCCTTCGGAGGCGAGCCCTTCTTTCTAAAACTTACACGGTTCTTATTTGTGAGGTCAGAGGTTAAACTGCTGAGGCTCCCCCTGGTCCCGGCCTCCCCCTGGTCCCGGCCTCCCCCTGGTCCCGGCCTCCCCCTGGTCCCGGCCTCCCCCTGGTCCCGGCCTCCTCCTGCTCCTCGCGGTCGCTGCCTGCTCTTGTAGTTACATGGATTAGAGCCTTTGACGGCGCAGAAAGAAGCGCTTCACAGTCAAAGCCCGAGCGCGGCCCATGCTGCCCGAGCGGCCGCATTATTCACTGCAGACAATGACCATATTGTAGTTCAGTGGGAGGAGGGGGGAGTAGGGGAGGAGGGGGAGGAGGGGGAGGAGGGGGGGAGGAGGGGGGAGCCAAAGTCCTGCACTTGTGCCACAGAGCGGGGAGGGCTCAGCTCCATCCGCTTTTTCAAGCAGAGCAAACAAAGCCGGCCCACTGTGAACAAGATGAAGATGTCAAAAGCTTTCAGGCAGGAGGGAGGGGGGAGGAGGGGGGAGGAGGGGGGTGAGGGGGTGAGGGGGTGAGGGGGGCGGGTTTAGGGGATAAACCAACAAAACAAGTGAAAAGGCCTTTTCTCAGACGGATAAGTCCTGCACTAAGACTACATTTCCACATCAGATTTACGTTCCTCTCATCCAACTCAATAACCCCGAATGAGGAAGAGGAAGAAGAGGAAGAGTCATCAATTCATGAGCAACTTCTGTGAGCGCTGAAGATGCCGCGGCTAACGCTCTGTGCTAACGCTCTGCGCTAACACAGGCCTTTAATGAACTCCTGTGATGTCACACAGACAGAAAACTCACTGCATCATTGTCACGTTAAACACCAACGATTAACTTCTGTCATAAAGTCAGGAAGGGAAGACCCAGGACTGAGGCTGTAGACCCAGGACTGAGGCTGTAGACCCAGGACTGAGGCTGTAGACCCAGGACTGAGGCTGTAGACCCAGGACTGAGGCTGTAGACCCAGGACTGAGGCTATAGTTCGGTCTCAGAGGTGTATTGTATCCGCTAATACTGCAGACAATTTTTCCTCCATGTTTGATCTTCTGTTGTTTACGGACTGCCTCGATGTGAACTTTGTGCATTTGTTTAGTAATCATTGTACTAGTATCTTGAACTGTGTGGCCCCTATTAAAATTAGTTTGTCAAAACAGGAAAAAGCCTGCCCTTGGACAAATGAAAATACTCTAAGTCTAAAGAGGCTATGTCGCAGGACTGAACGTTTGTGGAAATCAACCAACCTGGAGGTGCACAGACTCCATCTTAGAGACCTTATGGCCTCATACAATGAAATGGTTGAAAATGCCAAATCTGACTTTATTCGTCAACTGGTAACTGTAAACAAGAAAAACCCCAAAGTTCTGTTTGACACGATAAATTCTCTTATTTTGTCCGGCTGTCCCAACTGCCCCTGTCACTTGTGAAGCTGACATTAACGCAGTTTTGAGGTTTTTTATGGACAAAATTAAGCGGATCAAAGAAAATATCCCTCCTGTTTTGAGTGGTGCTCCTGCTGTTACTGAGCCGGTCTCCAGCCTGTGGTCCTCTTTCAAGTCAGTGACACTTTCTGATATCTCTGCACTGGTGACCAAGATGAAACCCTCCTCTTGTCCATCTGACATCATTCCATCAAGACTCTTTGTGAAAGGGTTTGATGTTATTGGCTCCTGGGTTATCAAAATGATTAACCTCTCCCTTTCTACAGGCGTGTTTCCTAAAGCATTTAAACATGCCACAGTGGAGCCGTTACTAAAGAAGACAGGCTTAGATCCAAATGATCAAAATAATTTCAGGCCGATCTCTAAACTTCCACTCTTGTCCAAGATCCTAGAGAAGGTAGTGTCTGAACAGCTCTCAGCTTTTCTGGATCAAAATGACATCCATGAGACATTTCAGTCTGGTTTTCGCCGACACCATTCCACAGAGACGGCCTTACTGAAAGTGTCCAGTATTATGATGGCGGCAGATTCTGGAGAGTGCACTGTTCTGGTTCTTCTGGATCTGTCCGCGGCGTTCGACACCGTCGACCACCAGATCCTCCTGCGAAGACTGAGGGATGGAGTGGGACTGTCGGGGTCAGTGCTTAAATGGTTTGCTTCGTACTTATCTGGACGCAGTTTTAGTGTCGCAGCGAACCAGATATGTTCTGAGTCAGCAGATTTGTTGTGTGGTGTCCCCCAAGGTTCCGTTTTGGGTCCACTACTTTTCCTGTTGTACTTGACCCCCTTGGGAAAGATTGTCCGGAGATTTCCTGGCATCTCATTCCACATTTTTGCTGATGACATCCAGCTATACTGCTCTTTCAAGCCTCCCGAGCTCCAGAGGCTAAACTCCTTGGTCCATTGCTTGGTCGAGATAAAACAATGGCTGAGTGACAACACTTTGCAGCTCAACGCTGACAAAACAGAAACTCTGGTGATTGCCCCTGATGACCACATCCCAGGGATAAACCAGGGCCTAGGTGACTTAGGCCAGTCAGTTAAACTGAGCCTCAGAAACTTAGGTGTCATTTTTGATAAGGACATGTCGTTAGTGCAGCACTGGAAACAGCTGACCAGGAACTGCTTTTTTCAGCTGAGGAGAATCTCCAAAGTCAGGAAAATGGTTTCACAGAATGATTTGGAGGTGATTATTCATGCTTTTGTGTCTTTCGTTTAGACTATTGTAACGCTCTGTTTTCATGTTTAAATAAGAAAGAACTGTCTCGCCTGCAGTTAGTGCAGAACTCTGCAGCGAGAATCCTGACCCGCACCAGCAGGAGGAGCACATCAGCCCTGTCCTGAAAGCTCTTCATTGGCTGCCAGTGTCCTACAGGATACATTTTAAACTTCTGGTTTTAACCTTCAGAGCTTTGCACGGTCAGGCTCCGTCTTACATCAGTGACTTGATCCAGCCTTACACCCCAGCCAGGGCTCTGAGGTCTGTGGATCAGAACCTCCTGATGGTTCCACGCACTCGCTTCAGGACCAGAGGAGACCGGTCCTTCCTGTTGCTCCCAAGCTTTGGAACGTTCTCCCGCTCTCTCTGCGTTCTATTGAGTCTGTTGAGTGCTTCAAAAGTCAACTGAAAACACATTTATTTGTTCAGGCTTTTGCGTAAGTTTGTCTTGCTGTTTTTACATGGTTGTCTTGGCCTTTAAAAATGTGGCTGTAGACCCAGGACTGAGGCTGTAGACCCAGGACTGAGGCAATAGACCCAGGACTGAGGCTGTAGACCCAGGACTGAGGCTGTAGACCCAGGACTGAGGCAATAGACCCAGGACTGAGGCTGTAGACCCAGGACTGAGGCTGTAGACCCAGCACTGAGGCTGTAGACCCAGGACTGAGGCAATAGACCCAGGACTGAGGCTGTAGACCCAGGACTGAGGCAATAGACCCAGGACTGAGGCTGTAGACCCAGGACTGAGGCAATAGACCCAGGACTGAGGCTGTAGACCCAGGACTGAGGCAATAGACCCAGGACTGAGGCTGTAGACCCAGGACTGAGGCAATAGACCCAGGACTGAGGCTGTAGACCCAGGACTGAGGCTGTAGACCCAGCACTGAGGCTGTAGACCCAGGACTGAGGCAGTAGACCCAGGACTGAGGCTGTAGACCCAGGACTGAGGTTGTAGACCCAGCACTGAGGCTGTAGACCCAGGACTGAGGCAATAGACCCAGGACTGAGGCTGTAGACCCAGGACTGAGGCAATAGACCCAGGACTGAGGCTGTAGACTCAGGACTGAGGCAATAGACCCAGGACTGAGGCTGTAGACCCAGGACTGAGGCAATAGACCCAGGACTGAGGCTGTAGACCCAGGACTGAGGCTGTAGACCCAGCACTGAGGCTGTAGACCCAGGACTGAGGCAGTAGACCCAGGACTGAGGCTGTAGACCCAGAACTGAGGCTGTAGACCCAGGACTGAGGCAGTAGACCCAGGACTGAGGCTGTAGACCCAGGACTGAGGCTGTAGACCCAGGACTGAGGCTGTAGACCCAGGACTGAGGCTGTAGACCCAGGACTGAGGCTGTAGACCCAGGACTGAGGCTGTAGATCCAGGACTGAGGCTGTAGACCCTCAGTCCCCCTCTCTCCTCTCTCTCCCCTCCTTCTCTCGCCCCTCTCTCTCCTCTCTCTCCTCTCTCTCCTCTCTCTCCTCTCTCTCCTCTCGCCCCTCTCTCTCCTCTCTCTCCTCTCTCCCCTCTCTCTCTCTCCTCTCCTCTCTCTCTCTCCTCTCTCTCCTCTCTCTCTCCGCTCTCTCCTCTCTCTCCCCTCTCTCCCCTCTCTCCCCTCTCTCTCCCCTCTCTCTCCCCCCTCTCTCCCCTCTCTCCCCTCTCTCCCCTCTCTCTACTCTCTCTCCCCTCTCTCCCCTCTCTCTCCTCTCTCCCTCTCTCTCCTCTCTCCCCTCTCTCTCCTCTCTCCCCTCTCTCTCCCCTCTCTCTCCCCTCTCTCTCCCCTCTCTCCCCTCTCTCTCCTCTCTCCCCTCTCTCCCCTCTCTCCTCTCTCTCCCCTCTCTCTCCCCTCTCTCTCCCCTCTCTCCCCTCTCTCTCTCCTCTCTCTCCCCTCTCTCCCCTCTCTCTCTCTCTCTCCCCTCTCTCTCCCCTCTCTCCCCTCTCTCCCCCTCCTTCTCTCTCCTCTCTCTCCCCTCTCTCTCCTCTCTCCTCCTCTCTCCCCTCTCTCCCCTCTCTCCCCTCTCTCTCCCCTCTCTCCCCTCTCTCTCCTCTCTCCCCTCTCTCCTCTCTCTCCCCTCTCTCTCCCCTCTCTCCCCTCTCTCTACCCTCTCTCTCCCCCTCTCCCCTCTCTCCCTCTCTCTCCTCTCTCCCCTCTCTCCCCTCTCTCCTCTCTCTCCCCTCTCTCTCCCCTCTCTCTCCTCTCTCTCCTCTCTCCCCTCTCTCTCCCCTCTCTCCCCTCTCTCTCCTCTCTCTCCTCTCTCCCCTCTCTCCTCTCTCTCCCCTCTCTCCCCTCTCTTTCCCCTCTCTCTCCCCCTCTCTCTCTCCTCTCTCTCTCCCCTCTCTCCCCTCTCTCTCCCCTCTCTCCCCTCTCTCCTCTCTCGCCCTCTCTCTCCCCTCTCTCCCCTCTCTCTCTCTCTCCTCCTCTCTCTCTCCTCTCTCTCCCCTCTCTCCCCTCTCTCTCCCCTCTCTCTCCTCTCTCCCCTCTCTCCTCTCTCTCCCCTCTCTCCCCTCTCTCTCCCCTCTTTCTCCTCTCTCCCCTCTCTCCTCTCTCTCCCCTCTCTCCCCTCTCTCTCCCCTCTCTCTCCCCTCTCTCTCTCCTCTCTCCCCTCTCTCTCCCCTCTCTCCCCTCTCTCTCCCCTCTCTCTCCCCTCTCTCTCTCCTCTCTCCCCGCTCTCTCCCCTCTCTCACCTCTCTCCCCTCTCTCTCCCCTCTCTCTCCCCTCTCTCTCTCCTCTCTCCCCTCTCTCTCTCCTCTCTCTCCTCTCTCTCCCCTCTCTCCCCTCTCTCTCCCCTCTCTCTCTCCTCTCTCCCCTCTCTCTCCCCTCTCTCCCCTCTCTCCCCTCTCTCCCCTCTCTCCCCTCTCTCCCCCTCCTTCTCTCTCTCTCTTCACTTATAGCAGTGACGTCTCTGAACGACATAAAGAACCTGTTCCAGATCCGCGTCTCATTCACATGTTAATGACAATAAGATTAACTCCAGAGTCTATCAGAGACCAGAGCGAGACCAGAGGGAGACCAGAGGGAGACCAGAGCGAGACCAGAGCGAGACCAGAGGGAGACCAGAGCGAGACCAGAGCGAGACCAGAGGGAGACCAGAGGGAGACCAGAGCGAGACCAGAGCGAGACCAGAGCGAGACCAGAGGGAGACCAGAGCGAGACCAGAGCGAGACCAGAGCGAGACCAGAGCGAGACCAGAGGGAGACCAGAGGGAGACCAGAGAGAGACCAGAGAGAGACCAGAGAGAGACCAGAGAGAGACCAGAGAAAGACCATAGAGAGACCAGAGCGAGACCAGAGCGAGACCAGAGCGAGACCAGAGCGAGACCAGAGGGAGACCAGAGCGAGACCAGAGAGAGACCAGAGCGAGACCAGAGAGAGAGACCAGAGAGAGACCAGAGAGAGAAACCAGAGAGAGACCAGAGAGAGACCAGAGAGAGACCAGAGAGAGACCAGAGAGAGACCAGAGAGAGACCAGAGAGAGACCAGAGAGAGACCAGAGCGAGACCAGAGAGAGAGACCAGAGAGAGACCAGAGAGAGAAACCAGAGAGAGACCAGAGAGAGACCAGAGAGAGACCAGAGAGAGACCAGAGAAAGACCATAGAGAGACCAGAGCGAGACCAGAGCGAGACCAGAGCGAGACCAGAGCGAGACCAGAGCGAGACCAGAGCGAGACCAGAGCGAGACCAGAGGGAGACCAGAGCGAGACCAGAGAGAGACCAGAGCGAGACCAGAGGGAGCCTGTGGTACAGTGAGCCCCGGGACAGGGGCCTGGTGTGGGGTTAATCCCAAACAGCAGATGCAGAAAAGAGAAACAACAAAAGGGAAAGTTCACCTCTTGTTCTCCAGGCTCCAGGAGGAGACCCCAACGGCAAACTGAAGTGGGGGGGGGGGGGGGGGGGGGGGCGTGAGGGGGGGAGGGGGGAGGGGGGAGGGGGAGGGGGGAGGGGGAGTGTAGAGAAGATAAAAGTACAGTAGAGTAGAGCAGAGTAGTGCTGGTGGAAACAGTGCTTTAGACTCAGAAGATGAAGATATTTGCAACAGAAAGTTAGACTCTGTCGGACATATCACACAATGTCATAGATTTTGAACCCACCTGGTCTGGAGCCTGGTGCTGCAGTCTCAGGTCTAGACCCTGGTGCTGCAGTCTCAGGTCTAGACCCTGGTGCTGGAGTCTCAGGTCTAGACCCTGGTGCTGGAGTCTCAGGTCTAGACCCTGGTGCTGCAGTCTCAGGTCTAGACCCAGGTGCTGGAGTCTCAGGTCTAGACCCTGGTGCTGGAGTCTCAGGTCTAGACCCTGGTGCTGCAGTCTCAGGTCTAGACCCTGGTGCTGGAGTCTCAGGTCTAGACCCTGGTGCTGCAGTCTCAGGTCTAGACCCTGGTGCTGCAGTCTCAGGTCTAGACCCTGGTGCTGGAGTCTCAGGTTTAGACCCTGGTGCTGGAATCTCAGGTCTAGACCCTGGTGCTGGAGTCTCAGGTCTAGACCCTGGTGCTGCAGTCTCAGGTCTAGACCCTGGTGCTGGAGTCTCAGGTCTAGACCCTGGTGCTGGAGTCTCAGGTCTAGACCCTGGTGCTGGAGTCTCAGGTCTAGACCCTGGTGCTGCAGTCTCAGGTCTAGACCCTGGTGCTGCAGTCTCAGGTCTAGACCCTGGTGCTGCAGTCTCAGGACTAGACCCTGGTGCTGGAATCTCAGGTCTAGACCCTGGTGCTGGAGTCTCAGGTCTAGACCCTGGTGCTGGAGTCTCAGGTCTAGACCCTGGTGCTGCAGTCTCAGGTCTAGACCCTGGTGCTGCAGTCTCAGGTCTAGACCCTGGTGCTGGAGTCTCAGGTCTAGACCCTGGTGCTGGAATCTCAGGTCTAGACCCTGGTGCTGGAGTCTCAGGTCTAGACCCTGGTGCTGCAGTCTCAGGTCTAGACCCTGGTGCTGGAGTCTCAGGTCTAGACCCTGGTGCTGGAGTCTCAGGTCTAGACCCTGGTGCTGGAGTCTCAGGTCTAGACCCTGGTGCTGCAGTCTCAGGTCGAGACCCTGGTGCTGGAGTCTCAGGTCTAGAGCCTGGTGCTGGAGTCTCAGGTCTAGACCCTGGTGCTGGAGTCTCAGGTCTAGACCCAGGTGCTGGAGTCTCAGGTCTAGACCCTGGTGCTGGAGTCTCAGGTCTAGACCCTGGTGCTGGAGTCTCAGGTCTAGACCCTGGTGCTGGAGTCTCAGGTCTAGACCCTGGTGCTGGAGTCTCAGGTCTAGACCCTGGTGCTGGAGTCTCAGGTCTAGACCCTGGTGCTGGAGTCTCAGGTCTAGACCCTGGGCAACCAACACTTTATTAAAAACTTAAAAGCTGCTAAAGCCCTATTTGGACAGGATCAGTATGACCTATGACCCCTGGTAATGTGTGATAATCACGGAGGACGTCTGAGATCAGCTCACTCACACGGGATCAGCAATGTCTGTGTTTTCACTGACATCTGACATAACGGTCTAGAGAGAGACCAGAGAGACCAGAAAAAGACCAGAGAGACCAGAGAGAGACCAGAGAGAGACCAGAGAGACCAGAGAGACCAGAGAGAGAGAGAGACCAGAGAGAGACCAGAGAGAGACCCAGAGAGACCAGAGAGAGACCAGAGAGAGACCAGAGAGAGACCAGAGAGACCAGAGAGAGACCAGAGAGAGACCAGAGAGAGAGACCAGAGAGAGACCAGAGAGAGACCAGAGAGTCTAGAGAGAGACCAGAGAGAGACCAGAGAGAGACCAGAGAGACCAGAGAGACCAGAGAGACCAGAGAGAGACCAGAGAGACCAGAGAGTCTAGATAGAGACCAGAGAGACCAGAGAGACCAGAGAGAGACCAGAGAGACCAGAGAGAGACCAGAGAGAGACCAGAGAGACCAGAGGGCCTGACCTCTCCTGGTGCTGGTGCTGGTGGGTCAGAGTCTGTATGGACACAGTCGTTGCTGGTGGGTGGTGGTGGTGAACACATGAACTTCCTGGTCCTTTGTGTGGCGGCGGCGGTGGCGGTGGCGGCGGCGGCGGCGCTGGGCGGGTGTGAACGTGGAGAATAGCCTTCGTGGAGGTGTTCTCGCTTCAATTCTCACTCCTCTCCTGGAGCCGGGTGTTAAATTATCTGCTCCCTGGAAACAGAACATTCATATTATTACTCTGCTCTGGTTATTAGGACACACACACATGTGCTCCCTGACACACACTTTACACTGGCAAGGACCTGACACACACACACACACACACACTGAGATACACACACACACACACACTGACACACACACACACACACTGAGATACACACACACACACTGAGATACACACATACACACTGACACACACACACACACTGACACACACACACACACACTGAGATACACACACACACACTGAGATACACACATACACACTGACACACACGCACACACACACTGAGATACACACACACACACTGAGATACACACATACACACTGACACACACACACACACTGACACACACACACACACACTGAGATACACACACACACACACTGAGATACACACATACACACTGACACACACGCACACACACACTGAGATACACACACACACACACACTGAGAGACACACTGACACCACACTTTACACTGGCAAGGACCTGACACACACACACACTGACACACACACACACACACTGAGACACACACACACACACACTGGGATACACACACTGACACACACACTGAGACACACACACTTTCCACTGGCAAGGACCTGACACACACTCATACACACACACTGATACACACACGCTGACACGCACACACAGGGATACACACACTGAGACACACACACTGAGACACACACACATACGCAGACACACACACACACACACACTGAAACACATGTAACCCAGGTGTCAAACTGGATCATAATTATTAGTTGCATATTGTAAAATTAAATAAAATTGTGTTGAGCCATGGATCTATAATAATAACTGGATACTATCTTACAGCTGTCCCACCCACGGCCACAGGGGGCGCTGTGGTGCTGCAGACTAACTACACAGAAAAAAGTCCCATTGAACTCAATGTAAACTAGAGAACCTGACAGAGAACCTGACAGAGAACCTGACAGAGAACCTGACAGAGAACCTGACAGAGAACCTGACAGAGAACCTGACAGAGAACCTGACAGAGAACCTGACAGAGAACCTACAGAGAACCTGACAGAGAACCTGACAGAGAACCTGACAGAGAACCTGACAGAGAACCTGACAGAGAACCTACAGAGAACCTGACAGAGAACCTACAGAGAACCTGACAGAGAACCTGACAGAGAACCTACAGAGAACCTGACAGAGAACCTGACAGAGAACCTACAGAGAACCTGACAGAGAACCTGACAGAGAACCTGGACAGAGAACCTGACAGAGAACCTGACAGAGAACCTGACAGAGAACCTGACAGAGAACCTGACAGAGAACCTACAGAGAACCTGACAGAGAACCTACAGAGAACCTGACAGAGAACCTGACAGAGAACCTACAGAGAACCTGACAGAGAACCTGACAGAGAACCTGACAGAGAACCTACAGAGAACCTGACAGAGAACCTGACAGAGAACCTGACAGAGAACCTGACAGAGAACCTGACAGAGAACCTACAGAGAACCTGACAGAGAACCTGACAGAGAACCTGACAGAGAACCTGACAGAGAACCTGACAGAGAACCTGACAGAGAATCTGACAGAGAACCTGACAGAGAACCTGACAGAGAACCTGACAGAGAACCTGACAGAGAACCTACAGCTTTCATAAAGGTCAGATTTTGTGTGGATGTTAGTGTCCTTTTTCTCTTCTTAAATCCTTCTGTTTTCTTTAAATCCACACTTTACTGCCACAAACTCTGCTCCTTTCCTTCCCGCTCTGACTCCGCTCTGCTGTCCTCTGATTGGTCAGAACCATAGACTGTTTATATTAACAGACGTAGTCACGCCTGTCTCCTCCGGTCTAACTAATGGGCCAAACGTTGGGGTTTTCATGGAGTGATTCAAAATGGCCGCGGGGGCTGGAAAATGTGAAAAAACCAAGCCCCAGCGATCCAAGATGGCGCCCTATTCAAATGAATGGTTGTGCTCAGTGGCGCTTTGTGACGGCACGGCGGCTGAAAGATTAGCGGAAGACGCCTGGAACTCTCAAAGATCTATGGGAAACTCTCAAAGATCTATGAGAAACTCTCAAAGATCTATGGGAAACTCTCAAAGATCTATGGGAAACTCTCAAAGATCTATGGGAAACTCTCAAAGATCTATGGGAAACTCTCAAAGATCTATGGGAAACTCTCAAAGGTCTATGAGAAACTCTCAAAGGTCTATGAGAAACTCTCAAAGATCTATGAGAAACTCTCAAAGATCTATGGGAAACTCTCAAAGATCTATGAGAAACTCTCAAAGATCTATGGGAAACTCTCAAAGATCTATGAGAAACTCTCAAAGATCTATGGGAAACTCTCAAAGATCTACGGGAAACTCTCAAAGATCTATGGGAAACTCTCAAAGGTCTATGGGAAACTCTCAAAGATCTATGGGAAACTCTCAAAGATCTATGGGAAACTCTCAAAGATCTATGAGAAACTCTCAAAGGTCTATGAGAAACTCTCAAAGATCTATGGGAAACTCTCAAAGGTCTATGGGAAACTCTCAAAGATCTATGAGAAACTCTCAAAGATCTATGGGAAACTCTCAAAGATCTATGGGAAACTCTCAAAGATCTATGGGAAACTCTCAAAGATCTATGAGAAACTCTCAAAGATCTATGGGAAACTCTCAAAGATCTATGAGAAACTCTCAAAGATCTATGAAACTCTCAAAGATCTATGGGAAACTCTCAAAGATCTATGGGAAACTCTCAAAGATCTATGGGAAACTCTCAAAGATCTATGGGAAACTCTCAAAGGTCTATGAGAAACTCTCAAAGGTCTATGAGAAACTCTCAAAGATCTATGAGAAACTCTCAAAGATCTATGGGAAACTCTCAAAGATCTATGAGAAACTCTCAAAGATCTATGAGAAACTCTCAAAGATCTATGAGAAACTCTCAAAGATCTATGGGAAACTCTCAAAGATCTATGGGAAACTCTCAAAGATCTATGGGAAACTCTCAAAGATCTATGGGAAACTCTCAAAGATCTATGGGAAACTCTCAAAGGTCTATGAGAAACTCTCAAAGATCTATGAGAAACTCTAAAAGATCTATGAGAAACTCTCAAAGATCTATGAGAAACTCTCAAAGATCTATGGGAAACTCTCAAAGATCTATGAGAAACTCTCAAAGATCTATGAGAAACTCTCAAAGATCTATGAGAAACTCTCAAAGATCTATGGGAAACTCTCAAAGATCTATGGGAAACTCTCAAAGATCTATGGGAAACTCTCAAAGATCTATGGGAAACTCTCAAAGATCTATGGGAAACTCTCAAAGATCTATGAGAAACTCTCAAAGATCTATGGGAAACTCTCAAAGATCTATGGGAAACTCTCAAAGATCTACGGAAACTCTCAAAGATCTATGGGAAACTCTCAAAGATCTATGGGAAACTCTCAAAGATCTATGGGAAACTCTCAAAGATCTATGGGAAACTCTCAAAGGTCTATGAGAAACTCTCAAAGGTCTATGAGAAACTCTCAAAGATCTATGAGAAACTCTCAAAGATCTATGGGAAACTCTCAAAGATCTATGAGAAACTCTCAAAGATCTATGGGAAACTCTCAAAGATCTATGAGAAACTCTCAAAAGATCTATGGGAAACTCTCAAAGATCTATGAGAAACTCTCAAAGGTCTATGAGAAACTCTCAAAGATCTATGGGAAACTCTCAAAGGTCTATGGGAAACTCTCAAAGATCTATGAGAAACTCTCAAAGATCTATGGGAAACTCTCAAAGATCTATGGGAAACTCTCAAAGATCTATGGGAAACTCTCAAAGATCTATGAGAAACTCTCAAAGATCTATGGGAAACTCTCAAAGATCTATGAGAAACTCTCAAAGATCTATGGGAAACTCTCAAAGATCTATGAGAAACTCTCAAAGATCTATGGGAAACTCTCAAAGATCTATGAGAAACTCTCAAAGGTCTATGAGAAACTCTCAAAGATCTATGGGAAACTCTCAAAGGTCTATGGGAAACTCTCAAAGATCTATGAGAAACTCTCAAAGATCTATGGGAAACTCTCAAAGATCTATGGGAAACTCTCAAAGATCTATGGGAAACTCTCAAAGATCTATGAGAAACTCTCAAAAATCTATGGAAACTCTCAAAGATCTATGAGAAACTCTCAAAGATCTATGAAACTCTCAAAGATCTATGAGAAACTCTCAAAGATCTATGAGAAACTCTCAAAGATCTATGAGAAACTCTCAAAGATCTATGGGAAACTCTCAAAGATCTATGGGAAACTCTCAAAGATCTATGGGAAACTCTCAAAGATCTATGAGAAACTCTCAAAGATCTATGGGAAACTCTCAAAGATCTATGAGAAACTCTCAAAGATCTATGAAACTCTCAAAGATCTATGAGAAACTCTCAAAGATCTATGAGAAACTCTCAAAGATCTATGAAACTCTCAAAGATCTATGGGAAACTCTCAAAGATCTATGGGAAACTCTCAAAGATCTATGGGAAACTCTCAAAGATCTATGGGAAACGCTCAAAGATCTATGGGAAACTCTCAAAGATCTATGGGAAACTCTCAAAAGGTCTATGAGAAACTCTCAAAGGTCTATGAGAAACTCTCAAAGATCTATGAGAAACTCTCAAAGATCTATGGGAAACTCTCAAAGATCTATGAGAAACTCTCAAAGATCTATGAGAAACTCTCAAAGATCTATGAGAAACTCTCAAAGATCTATGGGAAACTCTCAAAGATCTATGGGAAACTCTCAAAGATCTATGGGAAACTCTCAAAGATCTATGAGAAACTCTAAAAGATCTATGAGAAACTCTCAAAGATCTATGAGAAACTCTCAAAGATCTATGAGAAACTCTAAAAGGTCTATGGGAAACTCTCAAAGATCTATGAGAAACGCAGTGGATGATCTCCCATAATGCATTGTGTCAGATACACATGTGTGGGTCTCACGCACGTGCACAGAGGGGCTCACGCACGTGCACAGAGGGTCTCACGCACGTGCACAGAGGGTCTCACGCACGTGCACAGAGGGTCTCACGCACGTGCACAGAGGGGCTCACGCACGTGCACAGAGGGGCTCGGCTCTGACCAATCAGAGCAGTTCATCAGAGCGGGAGTTAGAGCCAGAGCCAGACGAGCAGAGTTATGGCACTAAAGTGTGGATTTAAACAAAACCGAAGGATTTAAGAAGAAAAAAAGTTCAGGACGACAAGGGACACTAACATCCCCACAAAATCTGACCTTTATGAAAGCTGTAGGTTCTCTGTCAGGTTCTCTGCCAGGTTCTCTGTCAGGTTCTCTGTCAGGTTCTCTGTCAGGTTCTCTGTCAGGTTCTCTGTCAGGTTCTCTGTCAGGTTCTCTGTCAGGTTCTCAGTCAGGTTCTCTGTCAGGTTCTCTGTCAGGTTATCTCTTAGGTTTCTGTCAGGTTCTCTGTCAGGTTCTCTGTCAGGTTCTCTGTCAGGTTCTCTGTCAGGTTCTCTGTCAGGTTCTCTGTCAGGTTCTCTGTCAGGTTCTCAGTCAGGTTCTCTGTCAGGTTCTCTGTCAGGTTATCTGTAGGTTCTCTGTCAGGTTCTCTGTCAGGTTCTCTGTCAGGTTCTCTGTCAGGTTCTCTGTCAGGTTCTGTAGGTTCTCTGTCAGGTTCTCTGTCAGGTTCTCTGTCAGGTTCTCTGTAGGTTCTCTGTCAGGTTCTCTGTAGGTTCTCTGTCAGGTTCTCTGTCAGGTTCTCTGTCAGGTTCTCTGTAGGTTCCCTGTCAGGTTCTCTGTCAGGTTCTCTGTCAGGTTCTCTGTAGGTTCTCTGTCAGGTTCTCTGTCAGGTTCTCTGTCAGGTTCTCTGTAGGTTCTCTGTCAGGTTCTCTGTAGGTTCTCTGTCAGGTTCTCTGTAGGATCTCTGTCAGGTTCTCTGTCAAGTTCTCTGTCAGGTTCTCTGTAGGTTCTCTGTAGGTTCTCTGTCAGGCTCTCTGTCAGGTTCTCTGTCAGGTTCTGTGCAGTGGATGATCTCCCATAATGCATTGTGTCAGATACACATGTGTGGGTCTCACGCACGTGCACAGAGGGGCTCACGCACGTGCACAGAGGGGCTCGGCTCTGACCAATCAGAGCAGTTCATCAGAGCGGGAGTTAGAGCCAGAGCCAGACGAGCAGAGTTATGGCACTAAAGTGTGGATTTAAACAAAACCGAAGGATTTAAGAAGAAAAAAAGTTCAGGACGACAAGGGACACTAACATCCCCACAAAATACTATCTTTATTAAAGCTGTAGGTTCTCTGTCAGGTTCTCTGTCAGGTTCTCTGTCAGGTTCTCTGTCAGGTTCTCTGTCAGGTTCTCTGTCAGGTTCTCTGTCAGGTTCTCTGTCAGGTTCTCTGTCAGGTTCTCTGTCAGGTTCTCTGTCAGGTTCTCTGTCAGGTTCTCAGTCAGGTTCTCTGTCAGGTTCTCTGTCAGGTTATCTGTAGGTTCTCTGTCAGGTTCTCTGTCAGGTTCTCTGTCAGGTTCTCTGTCAGGTTCTCTGTCAGGTTCTCTGTTAGGTTCTCTGTCAGGTTCTCAGTCAGGTTCTCTGTCAGGTTCTCTGTCAGGTTCTCAGTCAGGTTCTCTGTCAGGTTCTCTGTCAGGTTATCTGTAGGTTCTCTGTCAGGTTCTCTGTCAGGTTCTCTGTCAGGTTCTCTGTAGGTTCTCTGTCAGGTTCTCTGTCAGGTTCTCTGTAGGTTCTCTGTAGGTTCTCTGTCAGGTTCTCTGTCAGGTTCTCTGTCAGGTTCTCTGTAGGTTCTCTGTCAGGTTCTCTGTAGGTTCTCTGTCAGGTTCTCTGTCAGGTTCTCTGTCAGGTTCTCTGTAGGTTCCCTGTCAGGTTCTCTGTCAGGTTCTCTGTCAGGTTCTCTGTAGGTTCTCTGTCAGGTTCTCTGTCAGGTTCTCTGTCAGGTTCTCTGTAGGTTCTCTGTCAGGTTCTCTGTAGGTTCTCTGTCAGGTTCTCTGTAGGATCTCTGTCAGGTTCTCTGTCAAGTTCTCTGTCAGGTTCTCTGTAGGTTCTCTGTAGGTTCTCTGTCAGGCTCTCTGTCAGGTTCTCTGTCAGGTTCTCTGTCAGGTTCTCTGTAGGTTCTCTGTAGGTTCTCTGTCAGGTTCTCTGTCAGGTTCTCTGTCAGGTTCTCTGTCAGGTTCTCTGTTAGGTTCTCTGTCAGGTTCTCAGTCAGGTTCTCTGTCAGGTTCTCTGTCAGGTTCTCAGTCAGGTTCTCTGTCAGGTTCTCTGTCAGGTTATCTGTAGGTTCTCTGTCAGGTTCTCTGTCAGGTTCTCTGTCAGGTTCTCTGTAGGTTCTCTGTCAGGTTCTCTGTCAAGTTCTCTGTCAGGTTCTCTGTCAGGTTCTCTGTCAGGTTCTCTGTCAGGTTCTCTGTAGGTTCTCTGTAGGTTCTCTGTCAGGTTCTCTGTCAGGTTCTCTGTCAGGTTCTCTGTCAGGTTCTCTGTCAGGTTCTCTGTAGGTTCTCAGTCAGGTTCTCTGTCAGGTTCTCTGTCAGGTTCTCTGTCAGGTTCCCTGTCAGGTTCTCTGTTAGGTTCTCTGTCAGGTTCTCAGTCAGGTTCTCTGTCAGGTTCTCTGTCAGGTTCTCAGTCAGGTTCTCTGTCAGGTTCTCTGTCAGGTTCTCTGTCAGGTTCCCTGTCAGGTTCTCTGTTAGGTTCTCTGTCAGGTTCTCAGTCAGGTTCTCTGTCAGGTTCTCTGTCAGGTTCTCTGTCAGGTTCTCTGTCAGGTTCTCTGTCAGGTTATCTGTAGGTTCTCTGTCAGGTTCTCTGTCAGGTTCTCTGTCAGGTTCTCTGTCAGGTTCTCTGTCAGGTTCTCTGTCAGGTTCTCTGTAGGTTCTCTGTAGGTTCTCTGTCAGGTTCTCTGTAGGTTCTCTGTAGGTTCTCTGTCAGGTTCTCTGTCAGGTTCTCTGTCAGGTTCTCTGTCAGGTTCTCTGTCAGGTTCTCTGTCAGGTTCTCGTCAGGTTCTCTGTCAGGTTCTCTGTCAGGTTCTCTGTCAGGTTCTCTGTCAGGTTCTCTGTCAGGTTCTCTGTCAGGTTCTCTGTAGGTTCTCTGTCAGGTTCTCTGTCAGGTTCTCTGTCAGGTTCTCTGTCAGGTTCTCTGTCAGGTTCTCTGTCAGGTTCTCTGTCAGGTTCTCTGTCAGGTTCTCTGTCAGGTTCTCTGTCAGGTTCTCTGTAGGTTCTCTGTAGGTTCTCTGTCAGGTTCTCTGTCAGGTTCTCTGTCAGGTTCTCTGTCAGGTTCTCAGTCAGGTTCTCTGTCAGGTTCTCTGTCAGGTTCTCTGTAGGTTCTCTGTAGGTTCTCTGTCAGGTTCTCTGTCAGGTTCTCTGTCAGGTTCTCTGTCAGGTTCTCAGTCAGGTTCTCTGTCAGGTTCTCTGTCAGGTTCTCTGTAGGTTCTCTGTCAGGTTCTCTGTCAGGTTCTCTGTCAGGTTCTCTGTAGGTTCTCTGTCAGGTTCTCTGTCAGGTTCTCTGTCAGGTTCTCTGTAGGTTCCCTGTCAGGTTCTCTGTCAGGTTCTCTGTCAGGTTCTCTGTAGGTTCTCTGTCAGGTTCTCTGTCAGGTTCTCTGTAGGTTCTCTGTCAGGTTCTCTGTAGGTTCTCTGTCAGGTTCTCTGTAGGTTCTCTGTCAGGTTCTCTGTCAAGTTCTCTGTCAGGTTCTCTGTAGGTTCTCTGTAGGTTCTCTGTCAGGTTCTCTGTCAGGTTCTCTGTCAGGTTCTCTGTCAGGTTCTCTGTAGGTTCTCTGTAGGTTCTCTGTCAGGTTCTCTGTTAGGTTCTCTGTCAGGTTCTCAGTCAGGTTCTCTGTCAGGTTCTCTGTCAGGTTCTCTGTCAGGTTCTCTGTCAGGTTCTCAGTCAGGTTCTCTGTCAGGTTCTCTGTCAGGTTCTCTGTCAGGTTCTCTGTCAGGTTATCTGTAGGTTCTCTGTCAGGTTCTCTGTCAGGTTCTCTGTCAGGTTCTCTGTCAGGTTCTCTGTAGGTTCTCTGTCAGGTTCTCTGTCAAGTTCTCTGTCAGGTTCTCTGTCAGGTTCTCTGTCAGGTTCTCTGTCAGGTTCTCTGTAGGTTCTCTGTAGGTTCTCTGTCAGGTTGTCTGTCAGGTTCTCTGTCAGGTTCTCTGTCAGGTTCTCTGTCAGGTTCTCTGTAGGTTCTCTGTAGGTTCTCTGTCAGGTTCTCTGTTAGGTTCTCTGTCAGGTTCTCAGTCAGGTTCTCTGTCAGGTTCTCTGTCAGGTTCTCTGTCAGGTTCTCTGTCAGGTTCTCTGTCAGGTTCTCTGTTAGGTTCTCTGTCAGGTTCTCAGTCAGGTTCTCTGTCAGGTTCTCTGTCAGGTTCTCAGTCAGGTTCTCTGTCAGGTTCTCAGTCAGGTTCTCTGTCAGGTTCTCTGTCAGGTTCTCTGTCAGGTTCTCTGTCAGGTTCTCTGTCAGGTTCTCTGTCAGGTTCTCTGTCAGGTTCTCTGTCAGGTTCTCTGTCAGGTTCTCTGTCAGGTTCTCTGTAGGTTCTCTGTCAGGTTCTCTGTCAAGTTCTCTGTCAGGTTCTCTGTCAGGTTCTCTGTCAGGTTCTCTGTCAGGTTCTCTGTAGGTTCTCTGTAGGTTCTCTGTCAGGTTCTCTGTCAGGTTCTGTGCAGTGGATGATCTCCCATAATGCATTGTGTCAGATACACATGTGTGGGTCTCACGCACGTGCACAGAGGGGCTCACGCACGTGCACAGAGGGGCTCGGCTCTGACCAATCAGAGCAGTTCATCAGAGCGGGAGTTAGAGCCAGAGCCAGACGAGCAGAGTTATGGCACTAAAGTGTGGATTTAAACAAAACCGAAGGATTTAAGAAGAAAAAAAGTTCAGGACGACAAGGGACACTAACATCCCCACAAAATCTGACCTTTATGAAAGCTGTAGGTTCTCTGTCAGGTTCTCTGTCAGGTTCTCTGTCAGGTTCTCTGTCAGGTTCTCAGTCAGGTTCTCTGTCAGGTTCTCTGTCAGGTTATCTGTAGGTTCTCTGTCAGGTTCTCTGTCAGGTTCTCTGTCAGGTTCTCTGTTAGGTTCTCTGTCAGGTTCTCAGTCAGGTTCTCTGTCAGGTTCTCTGTCAGGTTCTCAGTCAGGTTCTCTGTCAGGTTCTCTGTCAGGTTATCTGTAGGTTCTCTGTCAGGTTCTCTGTCAGGTTCTCTGTCAGGTTCTCTGTCAGGTTCTCTGTCAGGTTCTCTGTCAGGTTCTCTGTCAGGTTCTCTGTCAGGTTCTCTCTCTGTCAGTTCCTGTCAGGTTCTCTGTCAGGTTCTCTGTAGGTTCTCTGTCAGGTTCTCTGTCAGGTTCTCTGTCAGGTTCTCTGTCAGGTTCTCTGTCAGGTTCTCTGTCAGGTTCAGTTCTCTGTCAGGTTCTCTGTCAGGTTCTCTGTCAGGTTCTCTGTCAGGTTCTCTGTCAGGTTTCTCTGTCAGTGTTCTCTGTCAGGTTCTCTGTCAGGTTCTCTGTCAGGTTCTCTGTCAGGTTCTCTGTCAGGTTCTCTGTCAGGTTCTCTGTAGGTTCTCTGTCAGGTTCTCTGTCAGGTTCTCTGTCAGGTTCTCTGTCAGGTTCTCTGTAGGTTCTCTGTAGGTTCTCTGTCAGGTTCTCTGTCAGGTTCTCTGTCAGGTTCTCTGTCAGGTTCTCTGTAGGTTCTCTGTAGGTTCTCTGTCAGGTTCTCTGTCAGGTTCTCTGTCAGGTTCTCTGTCAGGTTCTCTGTCAGGTTCTCTGTCAGGTTCTCTGTCAGGTTCTCTGTCAGGTTCTCTGTCAGGTTCTCTGTCAGGTTCTCTGTCAGGTTCTCTGTCAGGTTCTCTGTCAGGTTCTCTGTCAGGTTCTCTGTCAGGTTCTCTGTAGGTTCTCTGTCAGGTTCTCTGTCAGGTTCTCTGTCAGGTTCTCTGTCAGGTTCTCTGTCAGGTCTCTGTAGGTTCTCTGTCAGGTTCTCTGTCAGGTTCTCTGTGGTCTGTCAGGTGTTCTCTGTCAGGTTCTCTGTCAGGTTCTCTGTCAGGTTCTCTGTAGGTTCTCTGTCAGGTTCTCTGTCAGGTTCTCTGTCAGGTTCTCTGTCAGGTTCTCTGTCAGGTTCTCTGTCAGGTTCTCTGTAGGTTCTCTGTAGGTTCTCGTGTTCTCAGTCAGGTTCTCTGTCAGGTTCTCTGTCAGGTTCTCTGTCAGGTTCTCTGTCAGGTTCTCTAGGTCTCTCAGGTTCTCTGTCAGGTTCTCAGGTTCTTCAGGTTCTCTGTCAGGTTCTCTGTCAGGTTCTCTGTCAGGTTCTCTGTCAGGTTCTCTGTCAGGTTCTCTAGTCAGGTTCTCTGTAGGTTCTGTAGGTTCTCTGTCAGGTTCTCTGTAGGTTCTCTGTCAGGTTCTCGTCAGGTTCTCTGTCAGGTTCTCTCTGTCAGGTTCTCTGTCAGGTTCTCTGTCAGGTTCTCTGTCAGGTTCTCTGTCAGGTTCTCTGTCAGGGTTCTCTGTCAGGTTCTCAGTCAGGTTCTCTGTCAGGTTCTCTGGTTCTCTGTCAGGTTCTCAGTCAGGTTCTCTGTCAGGTTCTCAGTCAGGTTCTCTGTCAGGTTCTCTGTCAGGTTATCTGTAGGTTCTCTGTCAGGTTCTCTGTCAGGTTCTCTGTCAGGTTCTCTGTCAGGTTCTCTGTAGGTTCTCTGTCAGGTTCTCTGTCAGGTCTCTGTCAGGTTCTCTGTCAGGTTCTCTGTCAGGTTCTCTGTCAGGTTCTCTGTAGGTTCTCTGTAGGTTCTCTGTCAGGTTCTCTGTCAGGTTCTGTGCAGTGGATGATCTCCCATAATGCATTGTGTCAGATACACATGTGTGGGTCTCACGCACGTGCACAGAGGGGCTCACGCACGTGCACAGAGGGGCTCGGCTCTGACCAATCAGAGCAGTTCATCAGAGCGGGAGTTAGAGCCAGAGCCAGACGAGCAGAGTTATGGCACTAAAGTGTGGATTTAAACAAAACCGAAGGATTTAAGAAGAAAAAAAGTTCAGGACGACAAGGGACACTAACATCCCCACAAAATCTGACCTTTATGAAAGCTGTAGGTTCTCTGTCAGGTTCTCTGTCAGGTTCTCTGTCAGGTTCTCTGTCAGGTTCTCTGTCAGGTTCCTCGTCAGGTTCTCTGTCAGGTTCTAGGTTCTCAGGTTCTCTGTCAGGTTCTCTGTCAGGTTCTCTGTCAGGTTCTCTGTCAGGTTCTCTGTCAGGTTCTCTGTCAGGTTCTCTGTCAGGTTCTCAGTCAGGTTCTCTGTCAGGTTCTCTGTCAGGTTCTCTGTCAGGTTCTCTGTCAGGTTCTCTGTCAGGTTCTCTGTAGGTTCTCTGTCAGGTTCTCTGTCAGGTTCTCTGTCAGGTTCTCTGTCAGGTTCTCTGTCAGGTTCTCTGTCAGGTTCTCTGTCAGGTTCTCTGTAGGTTCTCTGTCAGGTTCTCTGTCAGGTTCTCTGTCAGGTCTCTGTAGGTTCTCTGTCAGGTTCTCTGTCAGGTTCTCTGTCAGGTTCTCTGTAGGTTCTCTGTCAGGTTCTCTGTCAGGTTCTCTGTCAGGTTCTCTGTAGGTTCTCTGTCAGGTTCTCTGTCAGGTTCTCTGTCAGGTTCTCTGTAGGTTCTCTGTCAGGTTCTCTGTCAGGTTCTCTGTCAGGTTCTCTGTAGGTTCTCTGTCAGGTTCTCTGTCAGGTTCTCTGTCAGGTTCTCTGTCAGGTTCTCTGTAGGTTCTCTGTCAGGTTCTTCTCTCTGTCAGGTTCTCTGTCAGGTTCTCTGTCAGGTTCTCTGTCAGGTTCTCTGTCAGGTTCTCTGTCAGGTTCTCTGTCAGGTTCTCTGTCAGGTTCTCTGTCAGGTTCTCTGTCAGGTTCTCTGTCAGGTTCTCTGTCAGGTTCTCTGTCAGGTTCTCTGTCAGGTTCTCTGTCAGGTTCTCTGTCAGGTTCTCTGTCAGGTTCTCTGTCAGGTTCTCTGTCAGGTTCTCTGTCAGGTTCTCTGTCAGGTTCTCTGTCAGGTTCTCTGTCAGGTTCTCTGTCAGGTTCTCTGTCAGGTTCTCTGTCAGGTTCTCTGTCAGGTTCTCTGTCAGGTTCTCTGTCAGGTTCTCTGTCAGGTTCTCTGTCAGGTTCTCTGTCAGGTTCTCTGTCAGGTTCTCTGTCAGGTTCTCTGTTCAGGTTCTCTGTCAGGGTTCTCTGTCAGGTTCTCTGTCAGGTTCTCTGTCAGGTTCTCTGTCAGGTTCTCTGTCAGGTTCTCTGTCAGGTTCTCTGTCAGGTTCTCTGTCAGGTTCTCTGTCAGGTTCTCTGTCAGGTTCTCTGTCAGGTTCTCTGTCAGGTTCTCTGTCAGGTTCTCTGTCAGGTTCTCTGTCAGGTTCTCTGTCAGGTTCTCTGTCAGGTTCTCTGTCAGGTTCTCTGTCAGGTTCTCTGTCAGGTTCTCTGTCAGGTTCTCTGTCAGGTTCTCTGTCAGGTTCTCTGTCAGGTTCTCTGTCAGGTTCTCTGTCAGGTTCTCAGTCAGGTTCTCTGTCAGGTTCTCTGTCAGGTTCTCTGTCAGGTTCTCTGTCAGGTTCTCTGTCAGGTTCTCTGTCAGGTTCTCTGTCAGGTTCTCTGTCAGGTTCTCTGTCAGGTTCTCAGTCAGGTTCTCTGTCAGGTTCTCTGTCAGGTTCTCTGTCAGGTTCTCTGTCAGGTTCTCTGTCAGGTTCTCTGTCAGGTTCTCTGTAGGTTCTCTGTCAGGTTCTCTGTCAGGTTCTCTGTCAGGTTCTCTGTAGGTTCTCTGTCAGGTTCTCTGTCAGGTTCTCTGTCAGGTTCTCTGTCAGGTTCTCTGTCAGGTTCTCTGTCAGGTTCTCTGTCAGGTTCTCTGTCAGGTTCTCTGTCAGGTTCTCTGTCAGGTTCTCTGTCAGGTTCTCTGTCAGGTTCTCTGTCAGGTTCTCTGTAGGTTCTCTGTCAGGTTCTCTGTCAGGTTCTCTGTCAGGTTCTCTGTCAGGTTCTCTGTCAGGTTCTCTGTCAGGTTCTCTGTCAGGTTCTCTGTCAGGTTCTCTGTCAGGTTCTCTGTAGGTTCTCTGTCAGGTTCTCTGTCAGGTTCTCTGTCAGGTTCTCTGTCAGGTTCTCAGTCAGGTTCTCTGTCAGGTTCTCTGTCAGGTTCTCTGTCAGGTTCTCTGTCAGGTTCTCTGTCAGGTTCTCTGTCAGGTTCTCTGTCAGGTTCTCTGTCAGGTTCTCTGTAGGTTCTCTGTCAGGTTCTCTGTCAGGTCTCTCTCAGGTTCTCTGTCAGGTTCTCTGTCAGGTTCTCTGTCAGGTTCTCTGTCAGGTTCTCTGTCAGGTTCTCTGTCAGGTTCTCTGTAGGTTCTCTGTCAGGTTCTCTGTCAGGTTCTCTGTAGGTTCTCTGTCAGGTTCTCTGTCAGGTTCTCTGTCAGTTTCTGTAGGTTCTCTGTGTTCTCAGTGGTTCTCTGTCAGGTTCTCTGTCAGGTTTCCTGAGGTTTCTCTGTCAGGTCAGGTTCTCTGTCAGTTCTCTCAGGTCAGGGTTCTCTCTGTCAGGTTCTCTGTAGGTTCTCTGTCAGGTTCTCTGTCAGGTTCTCTGTCAGGTTCTCTGTAGGTTCTCTGTCAGGTTCTCTGTCAGGTTCTCTGTCAGGTTCTCTGTCAGGTTCTCTGTCAGGTTCTCTGTAGGTTCTCTGCAGGTTCTCTGTCAGGTTCTCTGTAGGTCAGGTTTCTCTGTCAGGTTCTCTGTCAGGTTCTCTGTCAGGTTCTCTGTCAGGTTCTCTGTCAGGTTCTCTGTCAGGTTCTCTGTCAGGTTCTCTGTCAGGTTCTCTGTCAGGTTCTCTGTAGGTTCTGTTCTCTGTCAGGTTCTCTGTCAGGTTCTCTGTCAGGTTCTCTGTCAGGTTCTCTGTCAGGTTCTCTGTCAGGTTCTCTGTCAGGTTCTCTGTAGGTTCTCTGTCAGGTTCTCTGTCAGGTTCTCTGTCAGGTTCTCTGTCAGGTTCTCTGTCAGGTTCTCTGTCAGGATCTCTCTGTCTCTGTCAGGTTCTCTGTCAGGTTCTCTGTCAGGTTCTCTGTAGGTTCTCTGTAGGTTCTCTGTCTCTGTCAGGTTCTCTGTCAGGTTCTCTGTGTCAGGTTCTCTGTCAGGCTTTCTCTGTCAGGTTCTCTGTAGGTTCTCTGTCAGGGTCAGGTTCTCTTCTCTGTTCTCAGTCAGGTTCTCTGTCAGGTTCTCTGTTCTCCTTCAGGTTCTCTGTCAGGTTTATCTGTAGGTTCTCTGTCAGGTTCTCTGTCAGGTTCTCTGTCAGGTTCTCTCTGTCAGGTCAGGTTTCTCAGGTTCATGTCAGGTTCTCTGGTGATCTCTTCTGTCAGGTTCTCTGTTCAGGTTCTCTGTGTCTGTAGGGTCTCTGTTAGGTTCTCTGTCAGGTTCTCTGTCAGGTTCATCTGTAGGTTCTCTGTCAGGTTCTTTCTGTCAGGTTCTCTGTCCTTTACCTTCAGACTCTCTCACTACTGTCTCCTTTACCTTCAGACTCTCTCACTACTGTCTCCTTTACCTTCAGACTCTCTCACTACTGTCTCCTTTACCTTCAGACTCTCTCACTACTGTCTCCTTTACCTTCAGACTCTCTCACTACTGTCTCCTTTACCTTCAGACTCTCTCACTACTGTCTCCTTTACCTTCAGACTCTCTCACTACTGTCTCCTTTACCTTCAGACTCTCTCACTACTGTCTCCTTTACCTTCAGACTCTCTCACTACTGTCTCCTTTACCTTCAGACTCTCTCACTACTGTCTCCTTTACCTTCAGACTCTCTCACTACTGTCTCCTTTACCTTCAGACTCTCTCACTACTGTCTCCTTTACCTTCAGACTCTCTCACTACTGTCTCCTTTACCTTCAGACTCTCTCACTACTGTCTCCTTTACCTTCAGACTCTCTCACTACTGTCTCCTTTACCTTCAGACTCTCTCACTACTGTCTCCTTTACCTTCAGACTCTCTCACTACTGTCTCCTTTACCTTCAGACTCTCTCACTACTGTCTCCTTTACCTTCAGACTCTCTCACTACTGTCTCCTTTACCTTCAGACTCTCTCACTACTGTCTCCTTTACCTTCAGACTCTCTCACTACTGTCTCCTTTACCTTCAGACTCTCTCACTACTGTCTCCTTTACCTTCAGACTCTCTCACTACTGTCTCCTTTACCTTCAGACTCTCTCACTACTGTCTCCTTTACCTTCAGACTCTCTCACTACTGTCTCCTTTACCTTCAGACTCTCTCACTACTGTCTCCTTTACCTTCAGACTCTCTCACTACTGTCTCCTTTACCTTCAGACTCTCTCACTACTGTCTCCTTTACCTTCAGACTCTCTCACTACTGTCTCCTTTACCTTCAGACTCTCTCACTACTGTCTCCTTTACCTTCAGACTCTCTCACTACTGTCTCCTTTACCTTCAGACTCTCTCACTACTGTCTCCTTTACCTTCAGACTCTCTCACTACTGTCTCCTTTACCTTCAGACTCTCTCACTACTGTCTCCTTTACCTTCAGACTCTCTCACTACTGTCTCCTTTACCTTCAGACTCTCTCACTACTGTCTCCTTTACCTTCAGACTCTCTCACTACTGTCTCCTTTACCTTCAGACTCTCTCACTACTGTCTCCTTTACCTTCAGACTCTCTCACTACTGTCTCCTTTACCTTCAGACTCTCTCACTACTGTCTCCTTTACCTTCAGACTCTCTCACTACTGTCTCCTTTACCTTCAGACTCTCTCACTACTGTCTCCTTTACCTTCAGACTCTCTCACTACTGTCTCCTTTACCTTCAGACTCTCTCACTACTGTCTCCTTTACCTTCAGACTCTCTCACTACTGTCTCCTTTACCTTCAGACTCTCTCACTACTGTCTCCTTTACCTTCAGACTCTCTCACTACTGTCTCCTTTACCTTCAGACTCTCTCACTACTGTCTCCTTTACCTTCAGACTCTCTCACTACTGTCTCCTTTACCTTCAGACTCTCTCACTACTGTCTCCTTTACCTTCAGACTCTCTCACTACTGTCTCCTTTACCTTCAGACTCTCTCACTACTGTCTCCTTTACCTTCAGACTCTCTCACTACTGTCTCCTTTACCTTCAGACTCTCTCACTACTGTCTCCTTTACCTTCAGACTCTCTCACTACTGTCTCCTTTACCTTCAGACTCTCTCACTACTGTCTCCTTTACCTTCAGACTCTCTCACTACTGTCTCCTTTACCTTCAGACTCTCTCACTACTGTCTCCTTTACCTTCAGACTCTCTCACTACTGTCTCCTTTACCTTCAGACTCTCTCACTACTGTCTCCTTTACCTTCAGACTCTCTCACTACTGTCTCCTTTACCTTCAGACTCTCTCACTACTGTCTCCTTTACCTTCAGACTCTCTCACTACTGTCTCCTTTACCTTCAGACTCTCTCACTACTGTCTCCTTTACCTTCAGACTCTCTCACTACTGTCTCCTTTACCTTCAGACTCTCTCACTACTGTCTCCTTTACCTTCAGACTCTCTCACTACTGTCTCCTTTACCTTCAGACTCTCTCACTACTGTCTCCTTTACCTTCAGACTCTCTCACTACTGTCTCCTTTACCTTCAGACTCTCTCACTACTGTCTCCTTTACCTTCAGACTCTCTCACTACTGTCTCCTTTACCTTCAGACTCTCTCACTACTGTCTCCTTTACCTTCAGACTCTCTCACTACTGTCTCCTTTACCTTCAGACTCTCTCACTACTGTCTCCTTTACCTTCAGACTCTCTCACTACTGTCTCCTTTACCTTCAGACTCTCTCACTACTGTCTCCTTTACCTTCAGACTCTCTCACTACTGTCTCCTTTACCTTCAGACTCTCTCACTACTGTCTCCTTTACCTTCAGACTCTCTCACTACTGTCTCCTTTACCTTCAGACTCTCTCACTACTGTCTCCTTTACCTTCAGACTCTCTCACTACTGTCTCCTTTACCTTCAGACTCTCTCACTACTGTCTCCTTTACCTTCAGACTCTCTCACTACTGTCTCCTTTACCTTCAGACTCTCTCACTACTGTCTCCTTTACCTTCAGACTCTCTCACTACTGTCTCCTTTACCTTCAGACTCTCTCACTACTGTCTCCTTTACCTTCAGACTCTCTCACTACTGTCTCCTTTACCTTCAGACTCTCTCACTACTGTCTCCTTTACCTTCAGACTCTCTCACTACTGTCTCCTTTACCTTCAGACTCTCTCACTACTGTCTCCTTTACCTTCAGACTCTCTCACTACTGTCTCCTTTACCTTCAGACTCTCTCACTACTGTCTCCTTTACCTTCAGACTCTCTCACTACTGTCTCCTTTACCTTCAGACTCTCTCACTACTGTCTCCTTTACCTTCAGACTCTCTCACTACTGTCTCCTTTACCTTCAGACTCTCTCACTACTGTCTCCTTTACCTTCAGACTCTCTCACTACTGTCTCCTTTACCTTCAGACTCTCTCACTACTGTCTCCTTTACCTTCAGACTCTCTCACTACTGTCTCCTTTACCTTCAGACTCTCTCACTACTGTCTCCTTTACCTTCAGACTCTCTCACTACTGTCTCCTTTACCTTCAGACTCTCTCACTACTGTCTCCTTTACCTTCAGACTCTCTCACTACTGTCTCCTTTACCTTCAGACTCTCTCACTACTGTCTCCTTTACCTTCAGACTCTCTCACTACTGTCTCCTTTACCTTCAGACTCTCTCACTACTGTCTCCTTTACCTTCAGACTCTCTCACTACTGTCTCCTTTACCTTCAGACTCTCTCACTACTGTCTCCTTTACCTTCAGACTCTCTCACTACTGTCTCCTTTACCTTCAGACTCTCTCACTACTGTCTCCTTTACCTTCAGACTCTCTCACTACTGTCTCCTTTACCTTCAGACTCTCTCACTACTGTCTCCTTTACCTTCAGACTCTCTCACTACTGTCTCCTTTACCTTCAGACTCTCTCACTACTGTCTCCTTTACCTTCAGACTCTCTCACTACTGTCTCCTTTACCTTCAGACTCTCTCACTACTGTCTCCTTTACCTTCAGACTCTCTCACTACTGTCTCCTTTACCTTCAGACTCTCTCACTACTGTCTCCTTTACCTTCAGACTCTCTCACTACTGTCTCCTTTACCTTCAGACTCTCTCACTACTGTCTCCTTTACCTTCAGACTCTCTCACTACTGTCTCCTTTACCTTCAGACTCTCTCACTACTGTCTCCTTTACCTTCAGACTCTCTCACTACTGTCTCCTTTACCTTCAGACTCTCTCACTACTGTCTCCTTTACCTTCAGACTCTCTCACTACTGTCTCCTTTACCTTCAGACTCTCTCACTACTGTCTCCTTTACCTTCAGACTCTCTCACTACTGTCTCCTTTACCTTCAGACTCTCTCACTACTGTCTCCTTTACCTTCAGACTCTCTCACTACTGTCTCCTTTACCTTCAGACTCTCTCACTACTGTCTCCTTTACCTTCAGACTCTCTCACTACTGTCTCCTTTACCTTCAGACTCTCTCACTACTGTCTCCTTTACCTTCAGACTCTCTCACTACTGTCTCCTTTACCTTCAGACTCTCTCACTACTGTCTCCTTTACCTTCAGACTCTCTCACTACTGTCTCCTTTACCTTCAGACTCTCTCACTACTGTCTCCTTTACCTTCAGACTCTCTCACTACTGTCTCCTTTACCTTCAGACTCTCTCACTACTGTCTCCTTTACCTTCAGACTCTCTCACTACTGTCTCCTTTACCCTCAGACTCTCTCACTACTGTCTCCTTTACCTTCAGACTCTCTCACTACTGTCTCCTTTACCTTCAGACTCTCTCACTACTGTCTCCTTTACCTTCAGACTCTCTCACTACTGTCTCCTTTACCTTCAGACTCTCTCACTACTGTCTCTTTACTACTCTCCTTTACCTTCAGACTCTCTCACTACTGTCTCCTTTACCTTCAGACTCTCTCACTACTGTCTCCTTTACCTTCAGACTCTCTCACTACTGTCTCCTTTACCTTCAGACTCTCTCACTACTGTTCCCTTTCAGACTTCAGACTCTCTCACTACTGTCTCCTTTACCTTCACAGTCTCCTTTATCTTCACTCTCTCACTACTCTCCTTTCTTCAGACTCTCTCACTACTGTCTCCTTTACCTTCAGACTCTCTCAGAAACTACTGTCTCCTTTACCTTCAGACTCTCTCACTACTGTCTCCTTTCTCTCTCACACTACTGTCTCCTTTACCCTCAGACTCTCTCACTTTACTGACACTGTCTCCTTTACCCTTTACCTTCAGACTCTCTCACTACTGTCTCCTTTACCTTCAGACTCTCTCACTCTCTCTTTACTACTGTCTCCTTTACCTTCAGACTCTCTCACTACTGTCTCCTTTACCTTCAGACTCTCTCACTACTGTCTCCTTTACCTTCAGACTCTCTCACTACTGTCTCCTTTACCTTCAGACTCTCTCACTGTCTCCTTTACCTTCAGACTCTCTCACTACTGTCTCCTTTACCCTCAGACTCTCTCACTACTGTCTCCTTTACCTTCAGACTCTCTCACTACTGTCTCCTTTACCTTCAGACTCTCTCACTACTGTCTCCTTTACCTTCAGACTCTCTCACTACTGTCTCCTTTACCTTCAGACTCTCTCACTACTGTCTCCTTTACCTTCAGACTCTCTCACTACTGTCTCCTTTACCTTCAGACTCTCTCACTACTGTCTCCTTTACCCTCAGACTCTCTCACTACTGTCTCCTTTACCTTCAGACTCTCTCACTACTGTCTCCTTTACCTTCAGACTCTCTCACTACTGTCTCCTTTACCTTCAGACTCTCTCACTACTGTCTCCTTTACCTTCAGACTCTCTCACTACTGTCTCCTTTACCTTCAGACTCTCTCACTACTGTCTCCTTTACCCTCAGACTCTCTCACTACTGTCTCCTTTACCTTCAGACTCTCTCACTACCGTCTCCTTTACCTTCAGACTCTCTCACTACTGTCTCCTTTACCCTCAGACTCTCTCACTACTGTCTCCTTTACCTTCAGACTCTCTCACTACTGTCTTCTTTACCTTCAGACTCTCTCGCTACTGTCTCCTTTACCTTCAGACTCTCTCACTACTGTCTCCTTTACCTTCAGACTCTCTCACTACTGTCTCCTTTACCCTCAGACTCTCTCACTACTGTCTCCTTTACCTTCAGACTCTCTCACTACTGTCTCCTTTACCCTCAGACTCTCTCACTACTGTCTCCTTTACCTTCAGACTCTCTCACTACTGTCTCCTTTAACTTCAGACTCTCTCACTACTGTCTCCTTTACCTTCAGACTCTCTCACTACTGTCTCCTTTACCTTCAGACTCTCTCACTACTGTCTCCTTTACCATCAGACTCTCTCACTACTGTCTCCTTTACCTTCAGACTCTCTCACTACTGTCTCCTTTACCTTCAGACTCTCTCACTACTGTCTCCTTCATCTTCAGACTCTCTCACTACTGTCTCCTTTACCCTCAGACTCTCTCACTACTGTCTCCTTTACCTTCAGACTCTCTCACTACTGTCTCCTTTACCTTCAGACTCTCTCACTACTGTCTCTCTTACCTTCAGACTCTCTCACTACTGTCTCCTTTACCTTCAGACTCTCTCACTACTGTCTCCTTTACCCTCAGACTCTCTCACTACTGTCTCCTTTACCCTCAGACTCTCTCACTACTGTCTCCTTTACCTTCAGACTCTCTCACTACTGTCTCCTTTACCTTCAGACTCTCTCACTACTGTCTCCTTTACCTTCGGACTCTCTCACTACTGTCTCCTTTACCTTCAGACTCTCTCACTACTGTCTCCTTTACCCTCAGACTCTCTCACTACTGTCTCCTTTACCTTCAGACTCTCTCACTACTGTCTCCTTTACCCTCAGACTCTCTCACTACTGTCTCCTTTACCTTCAGACTCTCTCACTACTGTCTCTCTACCTTCAGACTCTCTCACTACTGTCTCCTTTACCTTCAGACTCTCTCACTACTGTCTCCTTTACCCTCAGACTCTCTCACTACTGTCTCCTTTACCTTCAGACTCTCTCACTACTGTCTCCTTTACCCTCAGACTCTCTCACTACTGTCTCCTTTACCTTCAGACTCTCTCACTACTGTCTCTCTTTACCTTCAGACTCTCTCACTACTGTCTCCTTTACCTTCAGACTCTCTCACTACTGTCTCCTTTACCTTCAGACTCTCTCACTACTGTCTCCTTTACCTTCAGACTCTCTCACTACTGTCTCCTTTACCTTCAGACTCTCTCACTACTGTCTCCTTTACCTTCAGACTCTCTCACTACTGTCTCCTTTACCTTCAGACTCTCTCACTACTGTCTCCTTTACCTTCAGACTCTCTCACTACTGTCTCCTTTACCTTCAGACTCTCTCACTACTGTCTCCTTTACCTTCAGACTCTCTCACTACTGTCTCCTTTACCTTCAGACTCTCTCACTACTGTCTCCTTTACCTTCAGACTCTCTCACTACTGTCTCCTTTACCTTCAGACTCTCTCACTACTGTCTCCTTTACCCTCAGACTCTCTCACTACTGTCTCCTTTACCTTCAGACTCTCTCACTACTGTCTCCTTTACCCTCAGACTCTCTCACTACTGTCTCCTTTACCTTCAGACTCTCTCACTACTGTCTCCTTACCTTCAGACTCTCTCACTACTGTCTCCTTTACCTTCAGACTCTCTCACTACTGTCTCCTTTACCTTCAGACTCTCTCACTACTGTCTCCTTTACCTTCAGACTCTCTCACTACTGTCTCCTTTACCTTCAGACTCTCTCACTACTGTCTCCTTTACCTTCAGACTCTCTCACTACTGTCTCCTTTACCTCAGACTCTCTCACTACTGTCTCCTTTACCTTCAGACTCTCTCACTACTGTCTCCTTTACCTTCAGACTCTCTCACTACTGTCTCCTTTACCTTCAGACTCTCTCACTACTGTCTCCTTTACCTTCAGACTCTCTCACTACTGTCTCCTTTACCTTCAGACTCTCTCACTACTGTCTCCTTTACCTTCAGACTCTCTCACTACTGTCTCCTTTACCTTCAGACTCTCTCACTACTGTCTCCTTTACCTTCAGACTCTCTCACTACTGTCTCCTTTACCTCAGACTCTCTCACTACTGTCTCCTTTACCTTCAGACTCTCTCACTACTGTCTCCTTCACCTTCAGACTCTCTCACTACTGTCTCCTTTACCTTCAGACTCTCTCACTACTGTCTCCTTTACCTTCAGACTCTCTCACTACTGTCTCCTTTACCTCAGACTCTCTCACTACTGTCTCCTTTACCTTCAGACTCTCTCACTACTGTCTCCTTTACCTTCAGACTCTCTCACTACTGTCTCCTTTACCTTCAGACTCTCTCACTACTGTCTCCTTTACCTTCAGACTCTCTCACTACTGTCTCCTTTACCTCAGACTCTCTCACTACTGTCTCCTTTACCTTCAGACTCTCTCACTACTGTCTCCTTTACCTTCAGACTCTCTCACTACTGTCTCCTTTACCTTCAGACTCTCTCACTACTGTCTCCTTTACCTTCAGACTCTCTCACTACTGTCTCCTTCACCTTCAGACTCTCTCACTACTGTCTCCTTTACCTTCAGACTCTCTCACTACTGTCTCCTTTACCTTCAGACTCTCTCACTACTGTCTCCTTTACCTTCAGACTCTCTCACTACTGTCTCCTTTACCTTCAGACTCTCTCACTACTGTCTCCTTTACCTCAGACTCTCTCACTACTGTCTCCTTTACCTTCAGACTCTCTCACTACTGTCTCCTTTACCTTCAGACTCTCTCACTACTGTCTCCTTTACCTTCAGACTCTCTCACTACTGTCTCCTTTACCTTCAGACTCTCTCACTACTGTCTCCTTTACCTTCAGACTCTCTCACTACTGTCTCCTTTACCTTCAGACTCTCTCACTACTGTCTCCTTTACCTTCAGACTCTCTCACTACTGTCTCCTTTACCTTCAGACTCTCTCACTACTGTCTCCTTTACCTTCAGACTCTCTCACTACTGTCTCCTTTACCTTCAGACTCTCTCACTACTGTCTCCTTTACCTTCAGACTCTCTCACTACTGTCTCCTTTACCTTCAGACTCTCTCACTACTGTCTCCTTTACCTTCAGACTCTCTCACTACTGTCTCCTTTACCTTCAGACTCTCTCACTACTGTCTCCTTTACCTTCAGACTCTCTCACTACTGTCTCCTTTACCTTCAGACTCTCTCACTACTGTCTCCTTTCACCTTCAGACTCTCTCACTACTGTCTCCTTTACCTTCAGACTCTCTCACTACTGTCTCCTTTACCTTCAGACTCTCTCACTACTGTCTCCTTTACCTTCAGACTCTCTCACTACTGTCTCCTTTACCTTCAGACTCTCTCACTACTGTCTTCTTTACCTTCAGACTCTCTCACTACTGTCTCCTTTACCTTCAGACTCTCTCACTACTGTCTCCTTTACCTTCAGACTCTCTCACTACTGTCTCCTTCACCTTCAGACTCTCTCACTACTGTCTCCTTTACCCTCAGACTCTCTCACTACTGTCTCCTTTACCTTCAGACTCTCTCACTACTGTCTCCTTTACCTTCAGACTCTCTCACTACTGTCTTCTTTACCTTCAGACTCTCTCACCACTTAGACCTTGGAGTTTCCAGCCCATTCTCTGCACAGATGTTTCTGTTCACTCTGCAGTCTCTTGGTTATGGTGTTCCATGGAGGCCTTCCCTGCAGCATCTCCTCTGGTGTGGTTTATCTGTACCATGGGTCTCCTCTGGTGTGGTTTATCTGTACCATGGAAGCTCCATGGAACTGTTGCCATGGACATTTTTATGACATCACTGACAATGTCATCGAGGGTCCAGATCAGAATATATGTGTGTGTTTGTCTGAGGCACAGGAGAGTCTGAACAGAACGACACCGGAGGACACAAAAAAGAGTAACCCATACCGGGGAAAGAACACACACAGGTGTCACACACACAGTTGTCACACACACAGGTGTCACACACACAGGTGTCACACACACAGGTGTCACACACACAGGTGTAACACACACAGGTGTCACACACACAGGAGTAACTTGCCCTAACTCCTCAAACCCTCAGAGAGGATGGAGAGCGTGAGGTCCGAGGCCTCGCTGCAGGAGGTGCAGACACACTTTGATCAGATCAAAGGCAGTCAGTGGGGGCTGTTGGCCAATGGCCTGTGTGACTTAGAGACCAGGCGTATACTAACCTCCATGTTCATCCCACTGCTGCAAACACTGTCTGCCCATGTCTTAGGCCTGGTCATTCCACAGTAGGAGGTGAACCAGAGGTTCCTCAGTGAGGAGGAGTCCACCCGGGCCCATAGGTCCATCACCACTGTGATCCAGAACACCATAGGACAAGTCTTCTCACAGGCTCTGAATCTGCCCAGGGACGCCTTAGACAAACACAGCCATTCCCACGAGCTCACCGCCCTGATCGAGCAGAAGGTGAACCGAGTCCTGTCTGAGGAGAAAGAGGACGGCTCCATCAGTGTGGACTCCCTCATCAGCAGCGAGACTGTGGCCCGTAGCATGATTGACGAGGGAAACTCCTGCCTTCAAAGATGTCTGCGCTTCTTGTTATGCTCTTGTGGCCGCCGCGCTTCCAAAAAGCAGTCGGCCTCTTCGGAAAGTGGGCCGTGCCGCTGTAGCTTTCTCAGGTTTGCTAAGAAGAATTTCAGAAGCATGCAGAGCAATCTGGAGACAAAACTCTTGTCCGAAGAGTCAGAGCCTGGAAGAAGAGTTCCTTCAAGAGGCTCTGGCAGCAGTGGGAGTTACCCAGACCTGGCCATATCCCCTGGAACTACTTTAAAGACCCCAGAGGTCAGTTTTGAGCAATTCCAACCAGAGGTGGAGGAATTGTTCCAACAGCTAAATCTGCCCACAAGTCCTGACATAGAAACGAGCCAAGAGAGGCTCACACAGGCCCTGAAGAGTGAGCAGACCACTGCGTTTGCTCAGAGACTCACTGACATGATGTACTGTCACTTTCACATCATGGACAGAGCGGCTCTCGCTGCGTCACCAAACCCTGAGATCAGGAGTAAGCTCCGGAACCAGGATCAGCAGCTGGCGTATGCCATGGTGAGAAACGAGGTGTTCACGAACCTCCACAGTTTCACACACTACATCAAGCACGACCCACTGGAAGACTTTTACCAGCAGGACTTGTTTGAACTGTGCATGGAGAGGCCGCCTTTGTCGCCCAATTCTCAAGAGGCCCTGACATACAACGTATCCATCCCTTTCCAAGGGTCAGTCCCCGTCCAGGTCCAGGTGGATTCTCTGTCTTTGAACAGCCACAAACATGACCTGTTCGAGAGGTCCATGGTGCACCCCAGAGCGGGTGTACCATCACAGATCTCCAGAGACGTACCAGCGATCGTCCTGCGAACCCCAGAGGTCCGTACCTACAGTGTTTCAGCAGTCTCTGAACACTCTTTCAGGAGTCACAAGTACGACCTGTTCGAGAGGTCCATGGCGCCTCCCAAAGTGCAGATGCCGTCCTTCATCTCTAAAGACGTCCCGGTGATTATCCTGAAGACCCCAAAGGACATGCGGAGACTCAGTCACAGGTCAGACTTGTCCGAGGGCCAGTCCATGACTCTAGGCCTGATCGAGTCTTTGATGATCCAAATGTTCAGAGGAAAAGCTGCTTTACGTCCCTGGATTGTCCCCTTCCTGTTACTTACGTGCAATAAATATTATTCTGATTCTGATTTAATTTGACAAAACTGTCTCTGATCTTAGTCTGTGGCTTAACTTCATTTGTGGATCAACCAAAACAAAGCAGTTTGTTTGGTTCTTTTGGCTCTGGATTAAAGACTATATCAACAGCTAAATTTGCTGACAACATGACTAGCTACCACAAGGGATCGATAGCTAACACAAATGAGAGCTAGCTAACATAAGGGATAGCTAGCTAAAGCCTGGTTCACACAACAACATAATTCGGCTGATTTTGGACCCGATTTACCCCTAACGACAATCTTAAGAACGCTCCGATTATTGTATAAAAATCTGATGTATTTTCCGTGACTGCGTCGCTCTGAAGGACTTCGGGACTGCTCCGATCTCAAACCGAGGATATCCAACATGTTGGATTGTTTTGGCCCGATTTCTCTCCGTGTGGTCTCGGGGTCAGACGAGCGCGTAGCCATGACTGCGGCGTGTGGCCAATCAGAAGACGAGGTACGACATTCTCATGAGGACAAAAACAGCTCCAGATCACGATGAGCTCGTGTCTCTACTTCTTTGACCGTCGCCTTTTCTTTCGATGACGCCTTTTCTCTGCTAAAAACAAACTGGAAACTCTGTCCATGATTGTTTACTCTGAAGTCACGCTTAATCTCGCGAGATTTTGTGAGATTTCCGTCTGACCTGGGAATGCTCGCGGTTAAAAACAGTTTGTGTGTGGTGTGTGTCTGCGCCAGACACTGTACGACCCTTAATCTTTTATCTCCGTGTGAGGATTATTATTATTATTATTATTATTATCATTATTATTATTATTATCAATCTTTATTTCAGATTCAAATTAACGTTGTCCTTTATTTATTAATTTAAGCAACAGACGGTATGAGGTCAACAACCAGTCTCTGTCCTGAAGTCCTCTCACATTAGTCCTGGTCTCAGGTCTCTGTCCTGAAGTCCTCTCACATTAGTCCTGGTCTCAGGTCTCTGTCCTGAAGTCCTCTCACATTAGTCCTGGTCTCAGGTCTCTGTCCTGAAGTCCTCTCACATTAGTCCTGGTCTCAGGTCTCTGTCCTGAAGTCCTCTCACATTAGTCCTGGTCTCAGGTCTCTGTCCTGAAGTCCTCTCACATTAGTCCTGGTCTCAGGTCTCTGTCCTGAAGTCCTCTCACATTAGTCCTGGTCTCAGGTCTCTGTCCTGAAGTCCTCTCACATTAGTCCTGGTCCCAGGTCTCTGTCCTGAAGTCCTCTCACATTAGTCCTGGTCTCAGGTCTCTGTCCTGAAGTCCTCTCACATTAGTCCTGGTCTCAGGTCTCTGTCCTGAAGTCCTCTCACATTAGTCCTGGTCTCAGGTCTCTGTCCTGAAGTCCTCTCACATTAGTCCTGGTCTCAGGTCTCTGTCCTGAAGTCCTCTCACATTAGTCCTGGTCTCAGGTCTCTGTCCTGAAGTCCTCTCACATTAGTCCTGGTCTCAGGTCTCTGTCCTGAAGTCCTCCCACATTAGTCCTGGTCTCAGGTCTCTGTCCTGAAGTCCTCTCACATTAGTCCTGGTCTCAGGTCTCTGTCCTGAAGTCCTCTCACATTAGTCCTGGTCTCAGGTCTCTGTTTACTCATATCTCTGTAATCTCCTACACATTGGACAGATTACATGTGCTGTTTATGCTAGCCCTGATCCAATCCCCTTGCGCAGAGACAGGTAGCGGCGCCAGAGAAGTGTTTGGCTAACGACCAGAAAGCTCCAATAAAAGCGGCGCTCGGACCAGCTGCGGAAGTGCCCCCGTGGCGCTCTCCTCCCGCCGCCTTTGTGCTGGAACAAGGAACAGGCAGTTAGCTGGCAGTTAGCAGCTGTAGCCTCTGGGAGCTAACGGGGGCAGCGAACCCAACAGGGCCTGCGAGTCTGCCCACCGCCGCCGCCACGACCACCGGTGTCTCCTCCCATCTTTGGCCTAATCAACAAACCCGGCTCAGCTGCGGCGCCGAGCCCCCGCCAGCCGCCATCGCCCTCTGATCAAATATTAAAGCTGATACTGAGCTAATCCAAAGCCAATTAATATTATCTGTCAATTATTTACAGATCCTGAGGTGTGGAGGCCGGCCCCACGGGAGCGGCGGCCCAGGTTCAGAATAACTAATTGACTTCCTGCTTTGTCCCCATTCAGGTCCTCTCTGTGCCCGCCCTCCCCCCCCCCCCCCCCCCCCCCCCCCCCCCCCTCATCCCCCCCCCCCCCTCACACCCTCACTCCCTCACTCCCTCACCCCCCCTCCCCTCTCTGCGTTCATGTGCGTCTTTTAAAGTCTAAATGGATGTGTTTTTGGTTGTGTGAGGATCACTGATGTATCTGACGCTGAGAAGGGGAGGAGAGGGGAGGGAGGAGAGGGGAGGAGAGGGGAGGGGAGGGAGGAGAGGGGAGGGAGGAGAGGGAGGAGAGGGGAGGGAGGAGAGGGGAGGAGAGGGGAGGGAGGAGAGGGGAGGAGAGGGGAGGGGAGGGAGGAGAGGGGAGGGAGGAGAGGGGAGGAGAGGGGAGGGAGGAGAGGGGAGGGAGGAGAGGGGAGGAGAGGGGAGGGAGGAGAGGGGAGGAGAGGGGAGGGAGGAGAGGGGAGGAGAGGGGGAGGGAGGAGAGGGGAGGGGAGGAGAGGGGAGGGAGGAGAGGGGAGGGAGGAGAGGGGAGGAGAGGGGAGGGAGGAGAGGGGAGGGAGGAGAGGGGAGGGAGGAGAGGGGAGGAGAGAGGGGAGGGAGGAGAGGGGAGGGGAGGGGAGGAGAGGGGAGGGAGGAGAGGGGAGGGAGGAGAGGGGAGGAGAGGGGAGGGAGGAGAGGGGAGGGGAGGGGAGGAGAGGGGAGGGAGGAGAGGGGAGGGAGGAGAGGGGAGGGAGGAGAGGGAGGAGAGGGGAGGAGAGGGGAGGGAGGAGAGGGGAGGAGAGGGGAGGGAGGAGAGGGGAGGAGAGGGGAGGAGAGGAGAGGGAGGAGAGGGGAGGGAGGAGAGGGGAGGGAGGAGAGGGGAGGAGAGGGGAGGGAGGAGAGGGGAGGAGAGGGGAGGGAGGAGAGGGGAGGAGAGGGGAGGAGAGGAGAGGGAGGAGAGGGGAGGGAGGAGAGGGGAGGAGAGGGGAGGGAGGAGAGGGGAGGGAGGAGAGGGGAGGAGAGGGGAGGGAGGAGAGGGGAGGGAGGAGAGGGGAGGAGAGGGGAGGGAGGAGAGGGGAGGGAGGAGAGGGGAGGGAGGAGAGGGGAGGAGAGGGGAGGGAGGAGAGGGGAGGAGAGGGGAGGGAGGAGAGGGGAGGAGAGGGGAGGAGAGGAGAGGGAGGAGAGGGGAGGGAGGAGATGGGAGGGAGGAGAGGGGAGGAGAGGGGAGGGAGGAGAGGGGAGGGAGGAGAGGGGAGGGAGGAGAGGGGAGGAGAGGGGAGGAGAGGGGAGGGAGGAGAGGGGAGGAGAGGGGAGGGAGGAGAGGGGAGGAGAGGAGAGGGGGAGGAGAGGGGAGGAGAGGGGAGGGAGGAGAGAGAGGAGAGGGGAGGGAGGAGAGGGGAGGAGAGGAGAGGGGAGGAGAGGGGAGGGAGGAGAGGGGAGGAGGTGGGAGGGAGGAGAGGAGAGGGGAGGAGAGGGGAGGAGAGGGGAGGGAGGAGAGGGGAGGAGAGGGGAAGGAGGAGCAGTGGGTCACTGCTCCTCCTGACCCACTGCACCTCCTGACCCACTGCTCCTCCTGACCCACTGCACCTCCTGACCCACCGCGCCTCCTGACCCACTGCTCCTCCTGACCCACTGCACCTCCTGACCCACTGCACCTCCTGACCCACTGCTCCTCCTGACCCACTGCTCCTCCTGACCCACTGCTCCTCCTGACCCACTGCTCCTCCTGACCCACTGCACCTCCTGACCCACTGCACCTCCTGACCCACTGCTCCTCCTGACCCACTGCACCTCCTGACCCACTGCTCCTCCTGACCCACTGCTCCTCCTGACCCACTGCACCTCCTGACCCACCGCGCCTCCTGACCCACTGCACCTCCTGACCCACTGCTCCTCCTGACCCACTGCACCTCCTGACCCACTGCACCTCCTGACCCACTGCTCCTCCTGACCCACTGCACCTCCTGACCCACTGCTCCTCCTGACCCACTGCTCCTCCTGACCCACTGCTCCTCCTGACCCACTGCACCTCCTGACCCACTGCTCCTCCTGACCCACTGCTCCTCCTGACCCACTGCACCTCCTGACCCACTGCACCTCCTGACCCACTGCACCTCCTGACCCACTGCTCCTCCTGACCCACTGCTCCTCCTGACCCACTGCACCTCCTGACCCACTGCTCCTCCTGACCCACTGCACCTCCTGACCCACTGCACCTCCTGACCCACCGCGCCTCCTAATTGGCTGCAAAGCATTGATACAAACTCCAAAAGGAAAACAGAAAAAAGTTTCATTTCTCTGAGTCTCGGCCGCTGTGGTGTTTACAGCTAAAGTAGCCGCACGCTAACCGCTAACTAGCTCCTCGCGCCTTCATCCCGTCTTTGTTTGTGGCTCTTTTCATCAGATGAGTTGTTTTGGGTTCGGTTCCCCTCCCTCCGACACATGTGACTTCCTCTCGTTAGCTCCTCGCGGTTTAATCTCGTATGTAAATCACCGTTTGATCTGACGCACGACTCTTAACGAGCAGAACGCGCCGTTAGCTCCCGCCTCTTTCCTGCGCCGCTAATTAAAACAAAGAGAGTTAGCGTGTGTTTTCGGGGCGTGTTGGGACTGGCTCGCACACGCCTTGTTCCTTCAGTCGGCGCTTTGACACCAGCCCGCGTGGCGTCTTGGATCCGACACGCTCGCGCCGTCGCGTTCTGCATCTGCTGCATATTTTGCCGCGGCGTGTGAAGTGCGTTTGTCACATTGTGGCAGAGAAAGGGTTTGAAGCCGGCGGCGTTTGAAGTGGCGGCTGATGTGCGGCTGTTTTAAGTGCGCTCCGTGACGGCGCCGTGTGTGACCTCAGGATGACGGCCCCAAAACTATCGATGAATAAACAGACGCCGCATTTATTCGTGTGGCGCTGGTGTCGCGGCTAAACGGCTGAAGGTCAGAGCGGCGCGCACCAGAGGGAGCCGCTACCATGAAGCAAAGAGAGTTTAAATGATGAATGCAACTGTGTCAGACACCATTTTATTTAGCTCCCCCGGGCCTCTCTCTGGTCTCTCTCTGGTCTCTCTCTCTGGTCTCTCTCTGGTCTCTGTCTCTGGTCTCTCACTGGTCTCTCTCTGGTCTCTCTCTGGTCTCTCTCTGGTCTCTCTCTGGTCTCTCTCTGGTCTCTCTCTGGTCTCTGTCTCTGGTCTCTCTCTGGTCTCTCTCTGGTCTCTCTCTGGTCTCTCTCTGGTCTCTGTCTCTGGTCTCTCTCTGGTCTCTGTCTCTGGTCTCTCTCTCTGGTCTCTCTCTGGTCTCTCTCTGGTCTCTCTCTGGTCTCTCTCTCTGGTCTCTCTCTGGTCTCTCTCTGGTCTCTCTCTGGTCTCTCTATTCTCTCCCTCTGGTCTGTGTAGGTTTCCTCCAGGTGCTCCGGTTTCCCATCCATCCTCTGGAGTCAGAGACAAACGTAAAGGTCTGTGTGACTCTGGTCTGTCAAAGGTGCTATATAAATAAACATTACTCACTATATGGGCTTTTGTTCTGACATTACCAGGACCAGGAGCAGACGTGTTGCTAAGACAAGGTGGAGTTTCCCCTGAATGAAGGCCTCTGATTGGTCAGTCCTTATATGGTCATGTCTGGATTTACAAAGACATGATCACAGAGGGAGAGGGCAGAGGATGAGGGAGAGGATGAGGGAGAGCATGAAGGAGAGGATGAAGGAGAGGGCAGAGGATGAGGGAGAGGATGAGGGAGAGGATGAAGGAGAGGGCAGAGGATGAGGGAGAGGATGAAGGAGAGGGCAGAGGATGAGGGAGAGGATGAAGGAGAGGGCAGAGGATGAGGGAGAGGATGAGGGAGAGGATGAAGGAGAGGGCAGAGGATGAGGGAGAGGATGAAGGAGAGGGCAGAGGATGAGGGAGAGGATGAGGGAGAGGATGAAGGAGAGGGCAGAGGATGAGGGAGAGGATGAAGGAGAGGGCAGAGGATGAGGGAGAGGATGAGGGAGAGGGCAGAGGATGAGGGAGAGGATGAGGGAGAGGATGAGGGAGAGGATGAGGGCAGAGGATGAGGGAGAGGGCAGAGGAATCTGTCATCATTAAAGGGCCCTAATCTGTCACAATAATAAACTGCTTTTTTCCAAAACTTCTTTAACAGAACTAAAAAAGACTAAACTCTTGTCTATTCAGCTGTTATGGTCCCAGCTGGATTCGTCTGCATATCTGGCAACCTGAGTCAGGGAAAGTGGGAGAGGCTGCATTACCACTTTTGGCCACATTTAGAGTCTGATGACAAACACAACACTTTTCACACAGAGTTACATGTGGCTGTGAACATGTGCAGAGATCCTGTCTCTCCACAGACTCCTGAACCTTTCGAGTCTCGATCCAAACCTGAAAAACAACGCGGTACAGATGGAAGAAGAAAGAGGCGTCACCGGGAGACAGCCGGACGCAGACAGAAGCCAACCTGGCTCCCGGCTTTGATTCCCACCTCCAGCGCCGCTCGCTGCATACTCTCCTAATTAATTTGTCTGGCGACGGCTTACCTTGATGGAGGACGGCGTTCGCGGAGAGAGAACACCTGCGCGCAGCTGCTGCGGGGACCGGCGCAACACGGCGCAACACGGCGCCAGATGCGGCGCAGACAGATTGGAGCTGGGGCTCGGGTGGAGAAGGGACACTGCACACAGCACACGCTTTTATGCTATTTATTTACACCATTTACTTCCAGAGCAGCTGCAGGAAATGCGTGAATGCGTCAGTCACCCGCAGCCGCCGCCGCCGCCACCGCCGCCACCGCCATCGCGACCGCCGCACCAGCGCAGAATCAAGACCATGAAAGAAACTACAATTTGATGTAATGTAATGTAATCTGTATTTATATACCGCCTTTTCACTGCACATCAGAGTCTCAAAGCGGTTTGCAATTGTTATTTTTGGTAGTGGGGCCAGTACAGGAGGCACAGACCTATTGTACATATTTTTAGTGGTAGGGGAAACCGGAGCAACCGGAGGAAACCGGAGCAAACACGGGGAGAAAATGCAAACTCCACTAAAGGCCATGGTCCAACCGGGATTCGAACCCAGGACCTTCTTGCTGAGAAGCGAGAGTACTATCCACTCAGCCAACTTCTGTGTTGTTGATGAGCTGCGAGAGCAATCTGTGGCCAATCAGAGCAGGGCCTCAGAGGCGCTAGTTTATACTGAGAAACAGGACCCAAAGGTACAACATGCTGAGGTTATTTATGTTCCGGGAGGCCAGTCCCTGTGCTCCTCAGAGTCCCAGCAGGAGGCCAGTCCCTGTGCTCCTCAGAGTCCCAGCAGGAGTCCAGTCCCTGTGCTCCTCAGAGTCCCAGCAGGAGTCCAGTCCCTGTGCTCCTCAGAGTCCCAGCAGGAGGCCACTCCCTGTGCTCCTCAGAGTCCCAGCAGGAGTCCAGTCCCTGTGCTCCTCAGAGTCCCAGCAGGAGGCCAGTCCCTGTGCTCCTCAGAGTCCCAGCAGGAGGCCAGTCCCTGTGCTCCTCAGAGTCCCAGCAGGAGGCCAGTCCCTGTGCTCCTCAGAGTCCCAGCAGGAGTCCAGTCCCTGTGCTCCTCAGAGTCCCAGCAGGAGGCCAGTCCCTGTGCTCCTCAGAGTCCCAGCAGGAGGCCAGTCCCTGTGCTCCTCAGAGTCCCAGCAGGAGGCCAGTCCCTGTGCTCCTCAGAGTCCCAGCAGGAGGCCAGTCCCTGTGCTAATATGGGACGAGAACGTAACTATTGAATGGAAAGAATGGTTTAAATATAAGTTTATTAATATATAATAGTTGTAATCGCTTCACTCTCCTCCGGCTGCAACAAAACATCGGTGGTTGATTAGAAATGAATCCCAATAAAACTAAATAAAACCAAATAAAGTTTCACAGTGGGGAATTGTCAGTGTTGCAGCGCACAGACAGGACAGTTGTGAGTCCTGGAAAGCGACGAAACCAAATGTTGGTATTTTCACATGTGCTCAAACCAGACCAGGACTAATGAGAGAGGACTTCAGGACAGAGACCTGAGACCAGGACTAATGTGAGAGGACTTCAGGACAGAGACCTGAGACCAGGACTAATGTGAGAGGACTTCAGGACAGAGACCTGAGACCAGGACTAATGTGAGAGGACTTCAGGACAGAGACCTGAGACCAGGACTAATGTGAGAGGACTTCAGGACAGAGACCTGAGACCAGAACTAATGTGAGAGGACTTCAGGACAGAGACCTGAGACCAGGACTAATGTGAGAGGACTTCAGGACAGAGACCTGAGACCAGGACTAATGTGAGAGGACTTCAGGACAGAGACCTGAGACCAGGACTAATGTGAGAGGACTTCAGGACAGAGACCTGAGACCAGAACTAATGTGAGAGGACTTCAGGACAGAGACCTGAGACCAGGACTAATGTGAGAGGACTTCAGGACAGAGACCTGAGACCAGGACTAATGTGAGAGGACTTCAGGACAGAGACCTGAGACCAGGACTAATGTGAGAGGACTTCAGGACAGAGACCTGAGACCAGGACTAATGTGAGAGGACTTCAGGACAGAGACCTGAGACCAGGACTAATGTGAGAGGACTTCAGGACAGAGACCTGAGACCAGGACTAATGTGAGAGGACTTCAGGACAGAGACCTGAGACCAGGACTAATGATTTCTGATGTTGTTTCTGTAGATTCTGTACCTGTGAGTAACTTTCTAAAGTTTCTTGACCCTGTGAACCCGGAGCTCGTTACCTTTGGTCAAATGTCTCATGAAAGGGACTGGACCAAGAAAAGACTTAAATGAATCCAAAGCTCTGCAGACCGGGCCGGATGAGGCCCCCGGGCCACAGAGAGGAGGCGTGACTCTCTTGTGCGGCACAGTGTCTGAGTGGTTAGCTTCTCAGCAAGAAGGTTCTGGGTTCGAGTGGCATGTTCTAACCCTAGTGTAGTGATATATTTATTCTGTTCTATTGAATGAACACAAAGTTATTAAAATAATCTGCTCTAAACAAACATGTTTCTTTACTTTCTGACACTGAAGCAGCTTTTGGCAAAGAATGAGAAGGTCCTGGTTCTTTACGACAGGACGATCCCGATGTGGCCCAAAGACACAGACTAAAGCCTGGTTCACACGAGACGATTTTAAAATTGTCGGCCGATTTTTCTCCGTGTTAGACCCCACACGGGGAGATTAAAAATCCTGCGTCTAACCACTTTGGTCGTGCAGTGTGTGGTGCGTAGCCACACGGCAAGATCACGCAAGCCACAAACATCACACACGAACCGACACCCCCGAGCATTCCCAGGTCAGACGGAAATCTCACAAAATCTCTCGAGATCAAGCGTGACTTCAGAGTAAACAGTCATGGCGGAGAAGAGGATGCAGTGGCGATAGTGTGCAGTTTGTTGTTAACAGAGAAGACACGTAATCCAAAGAAAAGGCAATGGTCAAAGCCATGCTGCTGTGTTTTGGTTTTTTCCCGGTGTTTCCTCACCGGCTTGTCACCTCGTCTTCTTATTGGCTACACGCCGTAGTCATGGCAACGCGCTCGCTTGTCCTCGGAGGACACCACACACGACAAGAAATCGGGCCAAAACAATCCAACATGTTGGATATCCCCGATTTGAGATCGGGAGCAGTCCCGATGTCCTTCCGAGCGACGAGTGCAGTCTTAACACACCACACACGGCAGGATAATCTGTAAGATTTTGTTACGGAAATCGGAGCGTTTCTTAAGATTGTCGTAAGGGGTAAATCGGGTCTAAATCGGCCTAAATATCCTGCCGTGTGAACCAGGCTTTAGATCAGAGACAGTTTTGTCCAATTCAAATGCACTTTATTGAGTTGTTGTTGAGTGTTGTGTTTCCAGTTCCCTTTGTCCTGGACTCATGTGTTCATCTCTTTGCACTGTAAATGTTTCTGATGAGTCTGTAGTTCGTGCCTTCTCCCTCTCATCCAGATTATACAATAATCCAGACACGAAGGGTCACAAAGAAACAAGAATTTAGCGTGTGGGAAAAGCCGGCTGCAAAAAGTGATGGTTAAAGTGTGCGTTAGCTCGGTGCTACTCCCTGTAGCTAGCAACCCTCATCCAAACCCTGGAGCTAGCATTGGGGTCTTAAAGGGGTAGATGTTTAGCCCTGGATGATGGGGCAGCAGCAGATTGGGAAGGGCTGACCGAGGCCTCTGAACTGCTCCAGGTGATACTGTAGGAACTTCAGAACCGTCTTGTCAAAAGTGGGGTCGTTTCTGTCCAAAGCTCTTTCTACAATATTCTCTGCCGTGCCATAATGTGTCTTGAGGTCCTTGATAACCGCCTGAATGATCTTACTCATTCTCTTTTCTGTTTTCTTGACCTGGTGTTCCGACAGTTGGATTTCCTCCCAGGCCTTTTGGGTCAAACTGTCGCGGATTCTTTGATACTTTTTGTCCCACGGACGTAAAGCAGCTCTTCCCCTGAACATTTGGATCATCAAAGACTCGATCAGGCCTAGAGTCATGGACTGGCCCTCGGACAAGTCTGACCTGTGACTGAGTCTCCGCATGTCCTCTGGGGTCTTCAGGATAACCGCCGGGACTTCTTTAGAGATGAAGGACGGCATCTGCACTTTGGGAGGCGCCATGGACCTCTCGAACAGGTCGTACTTGTGACTCCTGAAAGAGTGTTCAGAGACTGCTGAAACACTGTAGGTACGGACCTCTGGGGTTCGCAGGACGATCGCTGGTACGTCTCTGGAGATCTGTGATGGTACACCCGGTCTGGGGTGCACCATGGACCTCTCAAACAGGTCATGTTTGTGGCTGTTCAAAGACAGAGAATCCACCTGGACATGGACGGGGACTGACCCTTGGAAAGGGATGGATACGTTGTATGTCAGGGCCTCTTGAGAATTGGGCGACAAAGGCGGCCTCTCCATGCACAGTTCAAACAAGTCCTGCTGGTAAAAGTCTTCCAGTGGGTCGTGCTTGATGTAGTGTGTGAAACTGTGAAGGTTCGTGAACACCTCTTTTCTCACCATGGCATACGCCAGCTGCTGATCCTGGTTCCGGAGCTTACTCCTGATCTCAGGGTTTGGTGACGCAGCGAGAGCCGCTCTGTCCATGATGTGAAAGTGACAGTACATCATGTCAGAGAGTCTCTGAGCAAACGCAGTGGTTAAGAAATGTTCAAATGTTTAAGAAACACAGACTTTAGCATCATAGATACAGACAGACAGACAGACAGACAGACAGACAGACAGGCAGACAGACAGACAGACAGACAGACAGACAGACAGACAGACAGACAGACAGACAGACAGACAGACAGACAGACAGACAGACAGACAGACAGACAGACAGACAGACAGACAGACAGACAGACAGACAGACAGACAGACAGACAGACAGTCAGACAGACAGACAGACAGACAGACAGACAGACAGACAGACAGACAGACAGACAGACAGACAGACAGACAGACAGACAGACAGACAGACAGACAGACAGACAGACAGACAGACAGACAGACAGACAGACAGACAGATACTTTACTGATCCCCGTAGGAGAATGTCCAGTAGCAGCAAAAAATAAAATAACATTGATGATTCTAAAAAGTCTACACCTCAGGTCACAGCAGCAGAGGTGGGTGAATAGCAATGAACAGACTACAGCTGAAGTCATAATGAAGACAGTGCTGTTACCAGGCCTCTCCTGCAGGGGGCTCCACCTGCAGCTTCTCTGACTGTCTTTTTGAGTTTTTTGACTTAAACGTGTATTAAACAACAGCAGGAAGCTTTTGTTTTGAACGCAGCTGCAGGATGAAGTCTCTTTTGGCTTTAATATTTATTTTTCCATATTATGATTTCAAACGGAGCTTTTCCAGGGCTGCAGACATCACAGGTGAGCGTTTGCTTCCTCAGGGCACAGCCGTCCAAACGCTTTGAACGCTCCTCAACAGTGCACTACATTCTTCTCCTTCTCTCTCGCCGTTGGAAAGATCCCATTCCATTCTTTATGATTAGGAAGCCAGTTTTTGAAGTGGAGCGCAGACGTGACAGCGCGTCGGAGGCAGAGGCAGGCGGTTAGCTACACGCGGCTAACAAACAGGGCTAGCATTGTCAAAGACACAGAGATGGAATTGATTTATGATTAAACATTTATGGAGATGCAACGCTATGTCTTCGGGCGACTGCAAAGAAAATATGGAATGTTGAATATTATATTTGAATGAAACTCGTCTCGAGTTCTGAGGTTGGACCATTGTGGTGATGGGGGAGGGAGGGGGAGGGGGGGGAGGGGGAGGGAGGGGGGAGGGGGGGGGGGAGGGAGGGGGAAGGGAGGAGGAGGGTCATGTGACATCATCTATGGGTCTGTGATCATGTGTTCTTAAAGAGTCGATAACTACATCCAGAACATCGTGTCCTGGGCCTACAGCCTCAGTCCTGGGTCTACAGCCTCAGTCCTGGGTCTACAGCCTCAGTCCTGGGTCTACAGCCTCAGTCCTGGGTCTACAGCCTCAGTCCTGGGTCTACAGCCTCAGTCCTGGGTCTGCAGCCTCAGTCCTGGGTCTACAGCCTCAGTCCTGGGTCTACAGCCTCAGTCCTGGGTCTACAGCCTCAGTCCTGGGTCTACAGCCTCAGTCCTGGGTCTACAGCCTCAGTCCTGGGTCTACAGCCTCAGTCCTGGGTCTACAGCCTCAGTCCTGGGTCTACAGCCTCAGTCCTGGGTCTACAGTCTCAGTCCTGGGTCTACAGCCTCAGTCCTGGGTCTACAGTCTCAGTCCTGGGTCTACAGCCTCAGTCCTGGGTCTACAGCCTCAGTCCTGGGTCTACAGCCTCAGTCCTGGGTCTACAGCCTCAGTCCTGGGTCTACAGTCTAAGTCCCGGGTCCACAGCCTCAGTCCTGGGTCTACAGCCTCAGTCCTGGGTCTACAGTCTAAGTCCCGGGTCCACAGCCTCAGTCCTGGGTCTACAGCCTCAGTCCTGGGTCTACAGTCTAAGTCCCGGGTCCACAGCCTGTCTCTAACAGTTGTCGATCCTCCCGCAGCAGATCAGAGAATCAAACCGTTCACACACAGAGGCAGAGACCAATGTCCATGAACAAGATCCAAGACTTAATTTGCCAGGTGCAGTAAAACCACATTGGAAGAACCGTGCGAGGTGGCCCCAGTGTGCAGCAGCCGCACAGACCGGAGCTGAGGCGTGTAACGTGTCGTGGTGTCAAAGCGCCGTGATCCTTAACCACCGGTGTGAGTCAGTGCCGAGTTAACCGCGACACACACGCACAATTACCCCCGCTGCAGTTCATTAAAGTGCGGCGAGTGACAACACCATGAAAGATGGAAGAGCCCTGTCCCGCCCCCGCCCCGCCCCTCCCTCAACACAATGCCATTCTCTCTCTCATCTGCCATATGCTGCCGGGAGCCCAGGCCAATCCTAAAACAGCCAGATCCACGCCGACACATCCGTCTGGGCCCTGGCAGCCGCGGCTCCCTCCCGGCCGGTCCCCCTCGGCCCGTCCCCCTCGGCCCGTCCCCCTCGGCCGGTCCCCCTCGGCCGGTCCCCCTCGGCCCGTCCCCCTCGGCCGGTCCCCCTCGGCCCGTCCCCCTCGGCCCGTCCCCCTCGGCCGGTCCCCCTCGGCCGGTCCCCCTCGGCCCGTCCCCCTCGGCCGGTCCCCCTCGGCCCGTCCCCCTCGGCCCGTCCCCCTCGGCCGGTCCCCCTCGGCCGGTCCCCCTCGGCCCGTCCCCCTCGGCCCGTCCCCCTCGGCCGGTCCCCCTCGGCCGGTCCCCCTCGGCCCGTCCCCCTCGGCCGGTCCCCCTCGGCCCGTCGGCCCTCCCCCTCGGCCCGTCCCCCTCGGCCCGTCCCCCTCGGCCAGTGGCGCTGCTGCAGGAACGGTCCCCGGGGACGCACTTTTATTGCTTTCTCGCGTCATTTGTCCGGCGATTACGGCGAGCCTCCCCCGAACCCAGGGAGACATCACAATATTTCAATTTAAGGAGGACGTGGGGCTGGTTTGGTTTGTAGATGTAGAAGCACCATGTGGAAGCACCATGTGGAAGCACCATGTGGAAGCACCATGTGGAAGCACCATGTGGAAGAACCATGTAGAAGCACCATGTGGAAGCACCATGTGGAAGCACCATGTGGAAGCACCATGTGGAAGAACCATGTGGAAGCACCATGTGGAAGAACCATGTGGAAGCACCATGTGGAAGAACCATGTGGAAGCACCATGTGGAAGCACCATGTGGAAGCACCATGTGGAGAGGGGAGTGGACTGGGGATGGATGAGAGACAGGACACCGAGGACCCAGATCCCAGGCCGAGGATCCCGGGTCGGACAGACGGGTCGCAGCTTCTGTGGGTCTCAATCTTTATACTTCAGCTGTCGTCTGTTCATTGCTATTCACCCGCTGTCCCATTGTTTGTTTCATTGCGTGATGATGGGACCCTTGAACACGGCCTCTTCAACTTACGTCTGTGAACTGGTCTGCGGCCTCGGGCCTGGGTTTGGGTCAGCAGCCTCAGTCCTGGGTCTACAGCCTCAGTCCTGGGTCTACAGCCTCAGTCCTGGGTCTACAGCCTCAGTCCTGGGTCTACAGCCTCAGTCCTGGGTCTACAGCCTCAGTCCTGGGTCTACAGCCTCAGTCCTGGGTCTACAGCCTCAGTCCTGGGTCTACAGCCTCAGTCCTGGGTCTACAGCCTCAGTCCTGGGTCTACAGCCTCAGTCCTGGGTCTACAGCCTCAGTCCTGGGTCTACAGCCTCAGTCCTGGGTCTTGCTAACGTTGGATGAATCATTTTGTTGTGAGTCGATGTGAATGTATTAAACATGTTCAGTGTCAGCGCGACTCGGCAGAAGGAGGTCATCTCTGCAGGTGATGACACACAACCACTACACACACACACACACACACACACACAGACACACACACATACACTCATGTACAGACACACAAACAGACACACTCATGTACACACACACACACACTCACACACAGACACACACACACGTACACCCACAGACACACACACACAGACACACACACACACAGACACACACACACAGACACACTCACACACAGACACACACACACGTACACACACAGACACACACACACACACGTACACACACACACACACACAGACACACGTACACACACACGTACACACACACACACACACACACATACACACACACGTACACACACACACACACACAGACACACGTACACACACACACACACACAGACACACACACAGGCACACACACACAGACACACGTACACACACACACACACACACACACACACACACACACACATACACACACACGTACACACACACACACACACACACACACACACACACACACACACACATACACACACACGTACACACACACACACACACAGACACACACACAGACACACACACATCCTTAAATAAACCTGAGTCTGTTGCCTGTGGACAGAAGCGTCTGTTGGAGCCAGAGCAGAAGAATCTGTCAAACACCACTTCCCCTGTTCCTCCGTCTGTCTTCATCCGCCCGGCCCAGGGGGGAGACGGGGGAGACGGGGGAGACGGGGGAGACGGGGGAGACCTGGAGCCTCCTGAGCCAGGCCCAGGCCTCTGATCCCTGGCTAACCCCTCCCACCGGGCCCTCAGAACCCCACGGAACTCATCCATCTTCTTTAGGAACACACACACACACACTCCGACACACAAACACACACACAAACACACACACACACACACAGACACACATACTCAAACACACACACACAGACATACACACTCCGACACACACACACACACACACAAACACACACACACACACAGACACACATACTCAAACACACACACACAGACATACACACTCCGACACACACACACACACACACACAGACACACATTTGTTTCCTTCTAATGGTCTGTTTAATTGGTTCTGTTGAACTCTGTTGGAGGAGCTCAGGGTCTTAGCTCCATACAAAGGGAACTGTTGGGTCTGGACCCACAGCTGGTCTGGACCAGTGTGGACGGGTCCCGGCTTAAAAGTGTCCAAAATGACGTGCGCTGACATGCTGCAGTACCACCCCGGGCCTGTGGGGGTGGACCCTGACATGCTGCAGTACCACCCCGGGCCTGTGGGGGTGGACCCTGACATGCTGCAGTACCACCCCGGGCCTGTGGGGGTGGACCCTGACATGCTGCAGTACCACCCCGGGCCTGTGGGGGTGGACCCTGACATGCTGCAGTACCACCCCGGGCCTGTGGGGGTGGACCCTGACATGCTGCAGTACCACCCCGGGCCTGTGGGGGTGGACCCTGACATGCTGCAGTACCACCCCGGGCCTGTGGGGGTGGACCCTGACATGCTGCAGTACCACCCCGGGCCTGTGGGGGTGGACCCTGACATGCTGCAGTACCACCCCGGGCCTGTGGGGGTGGACCCTGACATGCTGCAGTACCACCCCGGGCCTGTGGGGGTGGACCCTGACATGCTGCAGTACCACCCCGGGCCTGTGGGGGTGGACCCTGACATGCTGCAGTACCACCCCGGGCCTGTGGGGGTGGACCCTGACATGCTGCAGTACCACCCCGGGCCTGTGGGGGTGGACCCTGACATGCTGCAGTACCACCCCGGGCCTGTGGGGGTGGACCCGGAATAAGAATTAGCCAATGCTAACATATAGCATCTTCTGACCTCTGGAAAACGTCTTTACAGGATGGTCCAAAAGTTGTCTCTTGGCCCAAAGCTCCGTTCCACATGTGAGTCAATGCTGAGGGTTCTGGACCAGTCTAGTTTAGTTGCTGTGGACTTCAGAAGTCTCTCGTTTAAATGAATGGAGCTCGTGGCCATTTTGAATCACTCCATGAGAGCCCAATGTTTGGCCCATTAGTTAGAACGGCGGAGACAGGCGTGACTACGTCTGTTAATATAAACAGTCTATGGTCAGGACCCACAGTGACATGTGACTTTCAGTGGTTCTCCAAAGGCCTAGACCCTGTTGGTGGTTCTCCAAAGGCCTAGACCCTGTTGGTGGTTCTTTGTTTGGATCAAGAGAGTTCAAACTTTTGAGTAAGGCCGCTTTAGTTCAGACGTGTCCAGGGCAGATAACAGAATGTAAAACTGTGACTAGAGTGTGATAAATGTCCAAATGTGACATAATCTAAAATAAATTCTACTGCTGCTGCTACTGATGACAATGCTACTGTTGCTAATGCTACTGATGACAATGCTACTGCTGCTAATGCTACTGATGACAATGCTACTGCTGCTAATGCTACTGATGACAATGCTACTGTTGCTAATGCTACTGATGACAATGCTACTGCTGCTAATGCTACTGATGACAATGCTACTGCTGCTAATGCTACTGATGACAATGCTGCTACTGACTGCTGCTAATGCTACTGATGACAATGCTACTGCTGCTAATGCTACTGATGACAATGCTACTGCTGCTAATGCTACTGATGACAATGCTACTGCTGCTAATGCTACTGATGACAATGCTACTGCTGCTAATGCTACTGATGACAATGCTACTGTTGCTAATGCTACTGATGACAATGCTACTGCTGCTAATGCTACTGATGACAATGCTACTGCTGCTAATGCTACTGATGACAATGCTACTGTTGCTAATGCTACTGATGACAATGCTACTGCTGCTAATGCTACTGATGACAATGCTACTGCTGCTAATGCTACTGATGACAATGCTACTGCTGCTAGTGCTACTGATGACAATGCTACTGCTGCTAATGCTACTGATGACAATGCTACTGCTGCTAATGCTACTGATGACAATGCTACTGCTGCTAGTGCTACTGATGACAATGCTACTGCTGCTAATGCTACTGATGACAATGCTACTGCTGCTAATGCTACTGATGACAATGCTACTGTTGCTAGTGCTACTGATGACAATGCTACTGCTGCTAATGCTACTGATGACAATGCTACTGTTGCTAATGCTACTGATGACAATGCTACTGCTGCTAATGCTACTGATGACAATGCTACTGCTGCTAATGCTACTGATGACAATGCTACTGCTGCTAATGCTACTGATGACAATGCTACTGCTGCTAATGCTACTGATGACAATGCTACTGCTGCTAATGCTACTGATGACAATGCTACTGTTGCTAATGCTACTGATGACAATGCTACTGCTGCTAATGCTACTGATGACAATGCTACTGTTGCTAATGCTACTGATGACAATGCTACTGCTGCTAATGCTACTGATGACAATGCTATTGCTGCTAATGCTACTGATGACAATGCTACTGCTGCTAATGCTACTGATGACAATGCTACTGCTGCTAATGCTACTGATGACAATGCTACTGCTGCTAGTGCTACTGATGACAATGCTACTGCTGCTAATGCTACTGATGACAATGCTACTGCTGCTAGTGCTGTACTGATGACAATGCTACTGCTGCTAATGCTACTGATGACAATGCTACTGCTGCTAGTGCTACTGATGACAATGCTACTGTTGCTAATGCTACTGATGACAATGCTACTGGCTAATGCTGTGCTAATGCTACTGATGACAATGCTACTGATGACAATGCTACTGCTGCTAATGCTACTGATGACAATGCTACTGTTGCTAGTGCTACTGATGACAATGCTACTGCTGCTAATGCTACTGATGACAATGCTACTGCTGCTAATGCTACTGATGACAATGCTACTGCTGCTAATGATACTGATGACAATGCTACTGCTGCTAATGCTACTGATGACAATGCTACTCCTGCTAATGCTACTGATGACAATGCTACTGCTGCTAGTGCTACTGATGACAATGCTACTGTTGCTAATGCTACTGATGACAATGCTACTGCTGCTAATGCTACTGATGACAATGCTACTGTTGCTAATGCTACTGATGACAATGCTACTGCTGCTAATGCTACTGATGACAATGCTACTGCTGCTAATGCTACTGATGACAATGCTACTGCTGCTAATGCTACTGATGACAATGCTACTGCTGCTAATGCTACTGATGACAATGCTACTGCTGCTAATGCTACTGATGACAATGCTACTGCTGCTAATGCTACTGATGACAATGCTACTGTTGCTAATGCTACTGATGACAATGCTACTGTGCTAATGCTACTGATGACAATGCTACTGCTGCTAATGCTACTGATGACAACTGTGCTACTGCTGCTAATGCTACTGATGACAATGCTACTGTTGCTAATGCTACTATGATGACAATGCTACTGTTGCTAATGCTACTGATGACAATGCTACTGCTGCTAATGCTACTGATGACAATGCTACTGCTGCTAGTGCTACTGATGACAATGCTACTGCTGCTAATGCTACTGATGACAATGCTACTGCTGCTAATGCTACTGATGACAATGCTACTGTTGCTAATGCTACTGATGACAATGCTACTGCTGCTAATGCTACTGATGACAATGCTACTGTTGCTAATGCTACTGATGACAATGCTACTGTTGCTAATGCTACTGATGACAATGCTACTGATGACAATGCTACTGCTGCTAATGCTACTGATGACAATGCTACTGTTGCTAGTGCTACTGATGACAATGCTACTGCTGCTAATGCTACTGATGACAATGCTACTGCTGCTAATGCTACTGATGACAATGCTACTGCTGCTAATGCTACTGATGACAATGCTACTGCTGCTAATGCTACTGATGACAATGCTACTGTTGCTAATAATGCTACTGATGACAATGCTACTGTTGCTAATGCTACTACTGTTACTGATGCTACTCCACCCATGGATGTGTAAGGGATAACGTATATTACGCAGGTCATTATCGGAAAATAAGTACCGACAGAACGAAGCGGACCGCAGTGGACTGAAATAAACTTCAGTCCACTTTTAGGAATGCCAAAAGGTTTATTTAATGACAGAAAATAAAATAGTTCCCAAAGGCTTTCCCGTGGCTATGCTAGCACCTCCCTGAACTGCATGAAAACTGAACACAGAATCCTGAACATCAGTGAGTGACCCAAACATAAACCTAACATAACCTCTGCAAATGTTCCTAAAATGTTCCTTCTGGGTTTTTCACCATCGCCTTTTCTCGCATTACATCAGTGTTTTTGTCATGAAAACGTAAACAGAAAATTCTGAAAATTTCCGTGCACGTGTGTGAAGAATGTATGTATAAAGTATTCTCTGATTAACATTTAAGTGTGTTTATTGAGCGTGGCTCCGGAGCGGCCGGAACTACTGTCGGAGTTATCCACGCATCTGAAAGACAAGCTCAGAGTGCGTTGCCAAAGGGCAGCGGTCATTATTGTTTTGAGAGGTCCGTTATAGAAAATAATGACCAGTACAACGTTTTGAAATGACATTCAGATCAATGGTTCTCCTGCTGCTGAGAGGAGCGTGTCATGAATAATAATAATAATAATAATAATAATAATAATAATAATAATAATAATAATAATAATAATAATAATAATAATAATAATAATAATAATAATAATAATAATAAGTGGTTAGAGTATTATCTCCTCTGCTCCCAGCGCCGCAAGTTCCACATGTCCCATGTTTACACCGAGAGCAGCTTCTCCGGCACTCTGGGAACCCACTGATCCCTGTAGAGATCCACAGGAGGCTCCAGAGGAGGCTCCAGAGGAGGCCACAGGAGACGCAGAGGCTCCAGAGGAGGCCACAGGAGACGCAGAGGCTCCAGAGGAGGCTCCAGAGGAGGCTCCAGAGGAGGCTCCAGAGGAGGCCACAGGAGACGCAGAGGCTCCAGAGGAGGCCACAGGAGACGCAGAGGCTCCAGAGGAGGCTCCAGAGGAGGCTCCAGAGGAGGCCACAGGAGACGCAGAGGCTCCAGAGGAGGCCACAGGAGACGCAGAGGCTCCAGAGGAGGCTCCAGAGGAGGCTCCAGAGGAGGCCACAGGAGACGCAGAGGCTCCAGAGGAGGCCACAGGAGACGCAGAGGCTCCAGAGGAGGCTCCAGAGGAGGCTCCAGAGGAGGCCACAGGAGACGCAGAGGCTCCAGAGGCGGCTCCAGAGGCGGCTCCAGAGGAGGCTCCAGAGGAGGCTCCAGAGGAGGCCACAGGAGACACAGAGGCTCCAGAGGAGGCTCCAGAGGAGGCTCCAGAGGAGGCCACAGGAGACGCAGAGGCTCCAGAGGAGGCTCCAGAGGAGGCTCCAGAGGAGGCTCCAGAGGAGGCCACAGGAGACGCAGAGGCTCCAGAGGAGGCTCCAGGAGGCTCCAGAGGAGGCCACAGGAGACGCAGAGGCTCCAGAGGAGGCCACAGGAGACACAGAGGCTCCAGAGGAGGCTCCAGAGGAGGCTCCAGAGGAGGCTCCAGAGGAGGCCACAGGAGACGCAGAGGCTCCAGAGGAGGCTCCAGAGGAGGCTCCAGAGGAGGCCACAGGAGACGCAGAGGCTCCAGAGGAGGCTCCAGAGGAGGCTCCAGAGGAGGCCACAGGAGACGCAGAGGCTCCAGAGGAGGCTCCAGAGGAGGCCACAGGAACAAAGGGAACTTTACCTCCATCATCATGAGAAACGCTCCATCTCTAACTTTACTTCCATCTGATGTGGCCCGCCATCAGAGGAATACAGACAATGTGGTCCATTGTGTTTCTCTGAGACGTGGCAGTCTGGGAATGTCCCGGACTCTGTGGTCGCTCTGAAGGGACTTAAACTGGTGCGTGCCGACCGGAGCGTGGAGGGGAAAGAAGAGGTCGGGGGTCGTGGTGTTAGTACCCGTGCTAACACCAGTAAGACCAAGGAGATGGTACCCGTGCTAACACCAGTAAGACCAAGGAGATGGTACCTGTGCTAACACCAGTAAGACCAAGGAGATGGTACCTGTGCTAACACCAGTAAGACCAAGGAGATGGTACCTGTGCTAACACCAGTAAGACCAAGGAGATGGTACCCGTGCTAACACCAGTAAGACCAAGGAGA